CCCTAACCTCAGCAGCTCGGGTTCCCCGTGGTATTACCGGTAAGGTTTGTCGGAAATCACCACAAAATAAAACTGTGATACCGCCCATGGGTCGATCATTTTGTCTTATATCTCTTAAAGTTCTGTCTACCGTTTCTTCTCCTTTTCGATGGGCCATCGTACATTCATCCTATATGATTAAATTACACTTTGAACGAATATTTAAACACTACCAAAACAACTAATACGTGGTCCTAACTTTAGCTACCTTACACATAAAATCTAAGTGTCTATTTGAACTAAAATATTCTTATAGAATTATAAGCAGAAATATATACAACTCACAACAAAAAAGAAATGAAAATAAAGCTGAAACGCCTGTGCAATACTATCTACCTATACCTACTTCACTTAAAAATAAATACTTATAACTACTTTAATTAATAAAAGTACCTACGCTTAATAATTTTTAATTTGAACGAATATTTAAACACTACCAAAACAACTAATACCTATTTTACAAAATAACAACAAAAGAAATTCAAATAAACTATTTAAAGACTAAAAGTCGCGCTGATAAGCACGGTTTCGGTCTCCCAGGCGGGGAGCAGATGAGAAATCCTCATGGATACCCTACAGCCGGCTGCAAGGTTATGTCAGACTCGTACTGACTAAAAAATACCCGTAGGGGCTGCCTCTGGCCGGGAAGGCCTCTAAGGCTTCATCGGAAGCGATCGTCCCCCAGGGGGGGAGCGACGCAGAAAACAGATTTAGACAGCTCGCTCTCGGACCTTTGATACCCTACCGCTGCCGCGACCCGTGTCGAGCGCGGCAACCGTTACACAAAAATAATCCTTAAAGCATGATTCAGTATTCACGTGCGACGACGCGATGGCTTATTTCATGTATAAGTTTGGTGTTTTATACCGAGTATTATAAACGTAAGAGTAAACAAATATGATCAGAATGCTCCGAACTGCTAAGCTATCGGGAGTTACACGTGTTATTGTGAGTCAACCATAAAAGATAGACATATGCTGTTGCAGGATATTTTTTAGACAATTTTATGTAGAATGTTTCCGTCATACATGATTTCTATGTAACTTTAATCATTAAGGCTGCAAACGCGACGGAAGCTTAAAAAATGGAGTAACTTCTCCCGTTTTCCCAACATTTCCCTTCACTACTCTGCTCCTACTGATTGTAGCGTGATGAAAAGTATACTATAACCTGCCCAGGAGTATGAAGAATAATTGTACCAAGTTTCGTTAAAATCCGTCGAGTAGTTTTTGTTTCTATAAGGAACAAACACACAGACAGACAGACAGACAGACAAAAAATTTACTGATTGCATTTTTGGCATCAGTATCGATCACTAATCACCCCCTGATAGTTATTTTAAAAATATATTTCATGTACAGAATTGACATCTCTACAGTTTTATTATAAGTATAGATGAGTATCATTGAATAGGTATATGTGAATTGTTTTTAATTTTTCATTTTAATTGACTGTTTTGGTTTTGTGACTTAGTTTACTTGCAACAAATTTGCTTAATTTCGATTAACTAAAACTAGATTTAACCCATAAAAAATGTCAAAAATTTAATGTCAATTTGACATCATTGTATAAACTAAATCTTGTTTAAGTTATATCGAGATTTAGCAAAATTGTTGCAAGAAAACTTTTTAAGTTAGCAAGCAACAGCACTTAAATGGTCAATATTATAGATCGCGCCAAACTTTTAGTATGCCTTGAAGTTGTTTCGCGCAGGAGTACAGCCCTACGGGGTCCCCGTAATACCGCGCGAGATCCCTGCCGTGGAGCCCCGGCGAGGCCGGGAAGCTCCTGGGGGCGGAGCCGTGGTAGAATCCCTAACGGGGACCCTGCGGCTCCGCACTAAGCAGTGTAGAGGTATTCGCAGGACTTTTTTAGCGGATATTATGCTGTAAAGCGCCCGTAAGAGTTGCGGGGTCCTCGGTGGGTAGCCACTGGGGGGTCCGTAAGACTTGCGGGAGCCAGGTGTGGGGTCCGTTCGGCGGTGTGCCTTTTAAAGGCGCCGTCGTCTGTAAAAAGATTTTTTACCTGCGCTAAAAAAAAAGGTGTACAGCCCTAAACACAACCTTCGTCCCTTCGTCCCTTTAAATACGAGTCACGACTCACGACGCGAATTGTGCAGTGTTCAGAGCGGACTAGAAGATTGTCGCGATCTACACTTATCATAAAGTTATCTATGTTAATAATAAATAATAAACAATGTAAAAACCTGACAGTGCTCCTTCAAAGTTAATTTTTTTATCCGAAATCGTTACAGAACCCAAGCAAATATGTTAGACTTTCAACATTTTGAAGTGAAAACTTGTTTAGCGGCATTATACACTTTTTTTTGTATGGGTAAAAAATGTTAAACTCGCGTCATGATACGTGGGCTGATCGCATTACAAGCCACGTGTCATAATCGTAAGACAAAAACAATAAAATTGGAAAGCTTTATCGTATTATAATAATAAGTCTCTATCTAGGACATCAAGGTGGCAGCTTTATTACAATGGATGTCGCTAGGTGCGCTTAAATATGAAATTCTGAGAGATATATGTTATTAATGTAATATAAATTGTCATGTTTGTGTACGATAGCGCAATAAATAAATATTGTATTCTACCACATAAATGATAGTACTTTTTATACAGATAAATTAAAGAAATTCGTGCAAAATTATTCCCTAACCGATTCAAAACAATACTGAGACCACCTTTCCCCATGTACTATTGACGAAGTCAACAAGATCATTCAAATTCTCGATTCTAACTCCAACTCACCGATAAATGGAAAAAATACAAAAGTTCATAAATGTATAGAACAAGCTTCAATTTACTCCTCAGTTAAGGCAGATTGAGGAGCTCGATGATGCAAGTGGTTAGCTCGTTCGGCTGCGATCGTTGAAGTTAAGCAACTTTCGCAGTGGTCAGTCATTGGGTCACCAAAAATTTACTATTTCCAGCTCCTCTGTGCTTCGGAAGGCACGTTAAGCCGTTGGTCCCGGCTGTAAATGCAGTCGTTAGCACCCACTAATCCGCACTGAGCCCGCGTGGTGGCCCAATCTCCCTATTCCATCCATAGGGAAGGCCTGTGCCTCAGCAGTGAGGACATTAATAAGCTGAGGATGATGAGGGCAGATTACCAAACTCACTTAAAATAGCAAATTAATTATAAAAAATATCTCCTACCGAAAACCAACAATGTATTGTAAACATAAACTTAAAAAATATTTGTTAGAGCGAATCGCTGTAGACAGATAAACCCATGTTTAAGGATTTTTTAGTTACAGCCATTGTATATCAAAAATGTAATTGATTTGATTGAATAAATGAATAATAAATAAATAAAAGTTAGTCCTACACATAAATGTGGTCCAAACGATCCCAGCAATTTCCTTTCGATATCAGTGCTACCGATTATTCGAAAATATTTGAAAAAATATGTATATTACCGACTATATTACTTCAATTATCTATCTATCTATCCGAACATCGATGTTGTTTCAGAAAGGCAAACTTTAGCGGCTACAATAGATCTTATTACCATGATAAAACAAAATATTGACAAAAATATAAAGATATTAGCCGTCCCAGCGAACTTCGTACTGCCCTAAAAATAGGGGCTGGTGGTAGAAGGGTGAAAATTTAGAGTTGTATGTATTTTTGTATGAAGTATCATAAAAACAAACAAAAAAATTGACAAAAAAATAAGGGTGGACCACCCTTAACATTTAGGGGGAGATAAATAGAGAAGAGAAAAGAGAATAGATGTTGTCCGATCCTCAGACCTACTGAATATGCATATAAAATGTCGAGCCTTTTCGGCGTAGTTCAATTACGCACACCGTGACACGAGAATTTTATATATAAGATAAATTAACATAGATCCATGTATTTGTATACCAGTACTTAATACTATGTTAATAAATTTGCTTAAAAACCGATATAACTCCTATCTTCAAAAATTCCAATCAGTGGACAGTCCCCACGATTAACTAAATCCTTCACGACTTTGCTGCAGCTACCACAAACCCGCCGGAGCAATGAACCTGCTTTTTTGCGCAAAACAGTAGTACCTTTAGTACGATTTTTACAATTACGAAAACTATGATAGTTTTCGTTTTCGTGAGCTCGCACTCGTACTAAGGGTACTGATTTTATTGTTTTCGTTACAATACAAATAAACAGTGTTTAAATTCTATCATTAAATCATTTGCGTTTTCTTAAATTTTAAGTATATTTGGTTACTTTTCACCAAAATTGACATAGTTTTCGTAATTGTAAATTATGTTTCAATTTACAATTACAGGGTACAGGTACAGGGAAAATTTCGACCTGCGCATCTGAGAACATTCCCGAAGCACTACAATATCGCGGCAGCCGCAGCAGTGCCCTGAAGGCATTATTGTATTGAACACGAAGGCCATTATATGATTTTCGGTTTAAATTAACCCATAGGCTGCTCGAGTAGAAAGATGATTGTGTATTTACAATAAAAAAAGTCATCCATTGGTTAAAGATAAAGTGTTTATTACATTTTTATTCAGATAAATAAACACCTATGTGGGTAGCATACATGTTGCGTTCATTTATTAATTCACTGCGTAATCACATCTCGAATATATGAAGATAAAAACAAAATTAAATCATGAGTTAAAGAGGTCAGTTAAAAAACGATTCAGGAAACTCCCCCTCTAAAGGTAGCAGACAGGATTTGAACCTGTGGCTTCCGCTATCCGGCCGGATGCACGCACTAAGCATTACGCTTCACATGTCGGATTTTCCCTAGTATTTCTTAGGCTGCAAGACATTCTCTTCAGATTTGTAAAAAATTAAAACTAAATTTAACTTCATAGTCTCCTTCTTTAGTCTGTAGAAACAAAGGCAATGATACACTATTGTCATATTTAAGTTTAGGTTTGGAGAATCATAACAGAATCGACATTAGTATATGGCTTAATATAAATATGATATATGTGTCAGGGTTCGGCCTGTTCAACTTCCTGTACACGTCGCTGATCGGCTTCATCATCATAGCCTTCGTGTTCGTCTCGTACGGCAGCACCATCATCGTCCCCGCTAGCGCATGCGAGCTTGGCACTACAGCTACACAGCGGGGCATGCTTGCAGCCGCACCAGTCATTGGTGAGTAAATTATACGGGAGAACTAGCGGGCAGCTGTTGTCATCATCATAGCGTTTGTGTTAGTTTTTACGGCAGCATAAAGATAGTGCTCGCCAGTGCGTGTGAGCTAGGCACTATAAATAAATAATAATAAAAAAAAAACATTTATTTCAAGACATTGGTCTCATATAATTATGTTAGTAACAATTTTTCTTAACCTATGTTAGTATTTTATTACAATTTCTATCATCATTATAACATATACATATAACATATACATATATAGCCACGCAGCGGGGCATGCTTGCCTGTCCCTGTACCTGTCATTGGTGAGTAAAATCTGGAATGGCTCTGGGATAGCTCCGCCAAGTACTTGCTCGATGCTTTGGATAGGTTACAACGGCGCGCGATCCGCATCATAAGAGATGAGGAGGTGACTAAACACCTTGAGCCTCTTCAATTACGCCGTGACGTGGCGTCACTAAGCGCGTTCTATCGTCTGTACCACGGCGAGGGGTGGGGTGGAGTCATTTGTCGGACCTATCTATAGAAAAAAAAATGGAAGAACTAGCGAACAGACGTTGTCATCTTCATAGTGTTCATGTTCGTCTCGTACGACAGCACCATCATCGTCACCACAAGCGCGTGCGAGTTCGGTACTCGGGCCACGCAGCGGGGCATGCGTGCAGCCACCCCTGTCATTGTTGAGTCATATAGGTGATATAAGACTGTCGAAAGAGGTCTTTTAGAAGTTATGCGTTTGCCAGAAGAGAAGTATACAATTTCCTCTAAAATGAGTAATACATAAGAAGATTACAGTCGAACAACACAAATAAATTCTTGTTTTATTTCTGTAATCAAACGAGCATGATTGAAGAGGTCATACTCCTCTCTCCCCCATTGTATACTAAAACTAACTGATAGTATAAGAATAATTTTCAACCTCCTGATTTACTCCTGCTGAGCGTTTAAATATAAAACAAGTGAAAATTAACAACGCTTTATTTTCTTAAATTATACATTAATATTACTGTGACGTGTGACCAGGTTAAGTTTATATCTCCCACCGCACTTGTAAAAAGTTATGTCAAGAGTATAATTTGAGATCAGTGTGTAGTCTGTTGGTGCAATAGTATTCTTACCTCGTATTGTTCGCAGACCTTTTCTCTTAGGTAACTTAAGGTGTACGATTCTACCATGCTGGTGCAGCCTCTCATAAAGTACCAGCTTTACGTATTTTATTTAAGTATCTTGCTTTCTATCACAACAGGTCTTCTATTGGGGGCGGTGCTATGGGGCTATTTGGGAGACACACGAGGACGCCGGCGCATGTTACTGGTGACGCTTGTGTGCGCTGGTAGCATCAACAGCCTGGCCAGCATCTCCGTCAACTGGATCATGCTGCTCGTGCTGCAGTTCATCGCTTCCATATTGTAAGTAGTATCATTCTTTAGGACATGTTGCTGGTTACTTAGAAGGGACACATTGAGGTCACGCGTGTCTTCTAAAATTTGATACCTAACAATCATAAATATGTTTTAAAAAAAATGATGTGGTGTCGTGGGACACCAGGTAGGAACGAAGTTCCTTCGGCTAATGTAGAATCGACACAAATTGCATACTCGCTTGTGTATGCGACTGTCGCGCCTGCGCACGTCTCATTTAACGGTTTTATTTCACGCACTTTTTTCCCCGGATTTTTTCTTACGGTTTTACTATCACATTTTTTTCAGTCCGGTCGCGCAGCAAAATCCCTATCCCCTCCACAAATTGCAAACTCGCTTGTGTATGCGACTGTCGCGCCTGCGCACGTCTCATTTAACGGTTTTATTCCACGCACTTTTTTCCACGGATTTATTCTTACGGTTTTACTATCACATTTTTTTTAGTTCGGTCGCGCAGCAAAATCCCTATCCCCTCCAAGCCTGCCGTAAGGAACTTCGTTCCAATAACAAAAAAACCTTTCTTGAATCAAGCAATCAAAAAATCAACATCAGTAATAGAACCTAGAACCTAGTCTAGATGTTCCTAATTTTCAATATTACAAACTAGGTTGTTAACTTGGGTTCTGACCGGTTTTTGTTATGTATACTTACTTTTTAAATGAGATTTCATGACGTAGATGCTGCAAATGAAAACATTTTTTTCAGTGCATCTGGTCTATATTCTTTATCGATGACATTACTGAGTGAGACTGTTCCAGTGACGAAAAGGAATCTCGTACTTTTACTGGTCACCAGCATATTCTTGCTGTCACAAGGACTAATGGCAGGTATGTAATCATCAAAAAATGCAAAAGTAGCCATATCATATTTTGCTACAAAGATAGAAGGCAGTTAAATCTTTTTAAGAGTTGTATTATAATGAGCCAAATAGAAGTAGAAGAACTTTTTTAAACGTCCGTGCTAAACCGTAAAGAATGAGCTGAAAACTTAATAAAATAAATATTAAAATCTATTCCAGTGCTGGCGATACCTATTATACCTCTGAGTTTCTCCAACTATCTTCCTGCCCTGGACATCTTCTGGAATTCTTGGCGTACCCTGATGTTGGTGTACTCAATGCCCAGTCTCATCACCGCACTTTGCCTCTTCTTTCTGCCAGAGAGTCCTAAGTTTGTGTTGTCCCAGGGTGATGAAGACAAAGCTTTAGAAATTTTAAGAAGAATATACAGGATCAATAACAGGGGTTCGAAGGAGGAATACCAAGTAAGATAGTAACAAACAATGATGTTGATGCATTAAACCGTTAAGAAATTAGTATAATCACTAAATCTTATTTACAGGTGAAAGGTGTTATAAGAGAAACGGAAAAGAAAGAGAAAGCATCAATGAAAGACCAGATTGTGCCTTTGTTTAGAGCACCGCTGTTGAAGTTCACAATTATAATGACCTCACTCTTGATATTCCAGCAGTGAGTAGTAGAAATAAAGAACTTGTCATTTTACCCAATTAACAAATAAACAAATAGGTAACAACAGATGTAGAGCAGGTACATATCATTCAATTTAATCTATTTGAGACCTAAAACCTGAGAAAGTACCCAAATAGTTTGTAATGAGGACTTTCTGTGTTTTATAGTCCCGTTTCCTATATTAATTTTATAAATGTTTAAGTTTGTATGTTTATTACTCAATCACGTAAAAACTACTTCACTGGTTTCGATGAAATTTGGTACACATATAGTTTATGACCTAGATTGAGAAATAGGATACTTTTTATCCCGGAAAAATGTTAGGTCCGTCAGTGTCCTGTAGGATTCTTAAAAAAAATAAGTTAAAGCGGAGTAGTCGCGGGCGGTCGCTAGTAATAAATAAATGTAGAAGGAAGCACAATAACGAATAAAATAATGTATCGTTTAAGAATTGAACGTGGAAATCACTTTTCCAGACTCCAGACTGGAAAGTTCTTGAAGGAAATAAGCCCTAACCTCTTCCCCTTTACTTGCAGGTTTTATTATTTGAAAGTACATTAAAAATTATATTATTACAGCACAAAAATGTTAAAGATCTATCGGTGCAGCAGAGAAGCTCCACAGCAAGTTACTACAGCTAGAATAACGGATGGCTGCACTGGTTTTCTAAATAATACATCAAAATCTCTACAGGATTTAATTTGATTACAAATGGCCTCTGGTAGTTCATTGACAAAACATAAATACTTCGAGGTTCTGTAAGCATTGTTGATTTATGATGGATTTGCAATTTCAGAGTGGGAGCGTTGCTAGTCTGGTTGCCGACTGTAGCAAACCAATTTATGCAGATGTTCGCGTCTGACAACTGGGAGGACGGAGGTGCACCCACTGATCTCACACTCTGTCAGTTCCTGGGCACCGAGATGGAAGTCATACCTGATGTAAATGATTTTTGCGGAATTCTTAAATGTCGCTATGACAGTTCTGTTGTTTCTTTCTTTATTTCGCATACTTATCATGAGTGCAATCATTCTTATTGTGAACTTCAAGAGCAGTGCTCTAAAGTTCAGAGCACTGCTCTTGAAGTTTGAGTTCAAGCTTAGACTCTTAAACAGCGGCACGATCTGCCGGCCTGTTCGCAAACTTTTTTGACATTAACAGTATTATATGTAATAAATAATAAATAATTGCATAGCCATCGATGCTATTCAGAAAATGTATACTATTGGCGTTATAATAAAGTAGTTGGTGGATTACTAAATATGTATCTTTGTGATTATCACTTCTATCTGTTTCTGTCAAAAGCAGTTAGGTCTTTCGTCGATGTCTTCTCTTTTTCACCATTTCTCTTGATGGTTCTCAACTGCAAATTAGATTTTATAAATTAATCATTCTTTTAAAAATTCACTTTAACTGTTATATCAGTATTATTTTATAACTATTTACTTACATACTTGGTATTCCTCTTTCGATCCCCCATTTATTGATCCTCTGAATTATTCTTAAAAGTACTAAATTGATCTAAGAGAGATTCAGTTCAGATATTTACACATAACAAAGCTTACTGTCATTGTTCTTGTACCTATACTGAAAGCTCGATGGCGCAGTGGTTAAGCGCGCTCTGTTTGCGATCGTGAAAGTAAAGCATCTTACCCAATAGCCGTTTATAGAATAGGTGATCAAGGCAGGTTAAACCAATGGTCCTGGTTGCATCTGCAGCTGTTAGCACACACCAATCCACGTGATTATGACACAATCTCCCTATTCCATCATTGTTAGGCTGATCTGATAATGATTATGATGATGAAAGATTACTGTTCCTTGCAGCCCAATGAGGTTCCTTGCAGTCTCAATGTGAATGCGATGTTGATCGTGCTGAGTGTGGCTGCTCTGCAGTCTATGGTCAATCTTATAGTCAGTATGGTAAGTTTCATTTTACTTATTATTTAATTTACATTGTATAATACGTAAATGTAGGTATTTTTTGATTTAAACTTATAGCGACTTATAATTTAACGGCACTCAGTAGTTACTGGTAGACTCGCACACTCGCTTATAGCCCAGCGATAAAACTATCGGAACTACATACACATTAGCTTCCCGATTCTCGCCAACTCGTTTCTAGTTTCTATCTCTACTCGCTTCTTGTTTATCGTCAACGGTAGGTCAAGTTCCTAACATGTCAACTGTAAAGCATAATAAATGAGTTTGTATACAACAGGTCGTGAATAAAGTGGGTCGCCGCAACCTGGTGATGGTGATCACGGCTGTGTGCGGCACTTGTGGCATCCTCGTGAACCTGGTGCCCAACACTATCGCCAGTGGCGTGCTGTACGTGCTGCTACTGGTCGGGATCATCGTCGTCGGTCTTTATACTGCGCTGGCGGTGGCACTATTCCCCACGCATCTCAGGTAAACTTGTCTTAAACACGGGAGCTATAACCACACCCGCACTCCCCGCACCCCGGCATCCCGTGTGTGTTTGATGACTAGTGCAGAAGCATTTTCTGGTTTTTACTGGTCGGGGTCCTGCTCATTTCACCGAGCCTCTGGGCTGGGTGTTCATATACCCTGTTCGCGCTACTCCAGGCGGTTCAAGGGCGCTATGACCACATCCGAACTCCCGGCACACATTAGGGTTACCTCGGCCCTCATAGTGCGTGTTTGGTGACCAGTGCAGAAACATTATCTGGTTTTTACTGATCGGGGTCCTACTCATTGCACCGAGCCTCTGGGCTGGGTTTAATGGGCGGAGAAGGAGCCTTCAGATACTTAGCCTTCGCGCTACTCCCGATGGTTCAGGTAGGCGTAACGCTTTTTCAAGATATAAAAAAAAGTAAAAATCGCAACAAAAAGTGTCAGTCATACCATATATATTTATATTATTGTTAAATGCTCGTGAAACTGGTCCCAATGGCGATAGCGCTATTCACCACGCATCTCAGGTAAAATTGTCTTAAACAAGGGCGCTATGACCAAACCCGCATTCCCGGCACGCATAAGGGTTATCTCGGTCCTCATAGTGCGTATTTGGTGACCAGTGCAGAAGCATTATGTAGTTTTAACTGATCGGGATCCTGCTCATTTCTGGGCTGGGTGTAATGGGCGGGGAAGAAGCTTTCAGATACTTAGCCTTCGCGCTACTCCCGGTGGTTCAGGGAGGCGTAACGCCTTTTCCAGATATAAAAAAAGGTAAAACTCGCTCTAAAAAGAGTCAAGACCATAGATATTATTGTTAAATGCTCGTGAACCTGGTCTCTTACACGGCCAGTGGCGTGTTGTACGTGCTGCTACTGGCCGGGATCAGCTTCGTCGGTCTTTCAACTGCACTGGCGGTAGCGCTTTTCTCACGCAACTCAGGTAAAACTGTCTTAAACACGGGCGCTATGACCACACCCACATTCCCGGCACGCATTAAGGGTACCTCTGTCCTCATAGTGCGTGTTTGGTGACAAGTGCGGAGTGCAGAAGTATTATCTGGCTTTTATTGGTCGGAGTCCTGCTCATTTCACCGAGCCTCAGGGCTGGGTGTTCAGATACACTGTTCGCGCTACTCCCGATGGTACCGGGAGGCGTAACGCCTTTTCCAGATATAAAAAAAGGTAAAACTAAATCGAAATATTAGATATACAGTGTTATAGGTCTAAAGTTATTAGGGACAGCGTGCATTCGGGCTACAGAAATTAGGAATAATGTTCTTTAGAGATATAGTGATTCAGTCCTTCAATTATTGGAATTATGTATAACAGTCCTTTATACTGCGCTGGCGGTGGCGCTTTTCCCCACGCATCTCACGTGAGAAGTCAAGATCATAGACATCACACTATTAAGGCAGGGGTACAGACCTTTTAGATGGCATAGGGAGAATGGGCCATGACTCACTACGCGGGCCCAATGTGAATTTTTGGATGCTGACGGATGCAGATGCAGCCGGGACTAACGGCTTAACGTGCTTTCTGAAGCACGGAAGTGCTAGCTAACTATCTGCAACATCCAGTTCCTCATAATATGACAGTTGGTATCCATATTATTAAACTAAAAAGTTGGGCAATCTTTTTTTTCTAACAGTTACTTTTGTATTGATGTCATTTAATTTTTAAGTTACTACCAATTACTGAATTTTGGCTTTGATTTCCATTACTACCAACGTATCGTTCCAGGGTGCTGGCTGTTTCTGTGATGCTGACAGGCGGCCGTATCGGCACCTTCGCCTCCATCCAGATCCTCAACCTCCTGTTGGAAACGAACTGTGATGCCGGCTTCTACATCTTCTCATCTTTATTCGCAGGTAGATGTTGTTGTTCGTTTGTCAAATTAAAGACCACATGTATTTGTGTACCAAAAGGGTGACAAGCAAACTGGCTGGCAAACTGTAATCATCTTACCGATATCTTGGGATACCGATGCACCTCTCACACGATCACCATCCATAAAAAATTCAAAATTCAATATCGTTTAAAGAAAATATAACTAGAAAAAATTCCACGCGGACCAGGCAGCAGACGTGACTCGAACCCGCACCCTTCGCAATCCGGGCGAATGCACTGACCAATTATGCTACCGCGGCCCTCACGGACCGCGTCGAAATTCCTCTAGCCATTCTTAAGCTGCAAGGCAGCGCCATCTCTTCGCATTATAGGTAACCCACAATGTCAAATGAATACTTTTACAAGTATTAAACATTTGAAAGAAGAAATAGCAATCATAGTTATATTTTTTTTTCAATATCGTTTATCCAGTCTAGGTCTAAGCACTTATGAATGTCAAAAAGCTACGCCATAGGTTCGCAAATCTACGGCGGGAGACCTTGTACTGAGAAGAACCGGCAAGAAACTCAGCAAAGGCTGTTTTTTTCTCCCTGTATTATATACAGAGTTGTCAATTTGAAAAATGACTTCAATATGAGATAACTGATGAAGTCACTTTCCATTAGAAATGTAAATGATGTAAAAATTATTACTATACAATAAAAACATATAAAAAAATTGATTTAGCAAAGTTTAGGAATGCCGTGTCCTACTGTTTAAGCTTAAAAAAATGAAAGATTAAAGTTACATACAACGATTAATAGTACCCAATGTAGCAAGAGCAGACTCATCTCCGCTGGCAGCACCCGTTCACGAGCATGACGCATGAACCAGCCATCTCTTCGCCCAACCATTTTTTCCGTCCCGGTGACAGAGGCGGTGAACAAACGGCCTTAACTTAGCATAGTCATTCGCATGTCATCCGTTACCGATTGATGATGGTGGAATTAATATATGTGTCGGATGGGGCGAGCGGTAATAGGTGGTTGTCCACGTGGTTTGTCTTGATCCGCCATCTTGGGTATTCGTTGTTATTTTCCGAAAATGAAACTGTAGTCTAATAACTTAGCTAATGTTTAATTTAAATCTTTAAATCACTTTACAAAATATGATAAGATTACAAGGATACAAATGGATTACTTTTTGAAGCGCGGAGAGTTCTCTGCTAACGTCCGTTCACTACCGCGGCTCACGTCTGAATGCCGAATGCCGAATGCCCCAAGGATGCCCCTTCCAATGAAGCATAGCCCCTTAAATACTACCCTTAGCATAGACCACTCCCAAGTGATGACAGCTGTCACTGTCATAACTTGACGTTTCACAAAGCAGTGGTACACTGACTGATGACATTTGTTGTCGGTTTAACGTTTCGAAGAAGCGAGTGAGACGCCATCCGCCGACATATGCAAGTTTAATACACACCATCTCACAGAAATGCTGTTTGAAACCTCTTTAATTAAATCTTGTTTGCCAAAAACACAACATCATCAACATAATTATATATGTCGTGTAGTACGAGTCGTGTGACGTTTGTGTGTGTGTGTATACTCGTATATACAGTAGACCCACGATAATCCGACAAACGTTTTGCTGGGCGATGTTGGATTATCGTATTTGTCGGATTATAGAGTTCTGTACGACCGCCCTCTATAGTCCGGATGTTTTTAAATAAGAGTGCCTTGTAATCTGGCAAATTACAAAACTTTAAAGTTTATTTTATTATGGTTATCTATAATCAACAATGATAGGCGTGTCGGATTATAGGGGGTGTCGGATAACACCAGGTCCGGATTATTGCGGGTCTACTGTATATATATTTATTGTCGCGTGTGACGCTCGTAACGTTTCAGCCTTCGCCAAGTTACCCTCCAACTTTCATGCTGGGAAGAGCTGAGCACGCATCCCATACACATTTCCGTTTCATCTTTTCCAAAGGATTTCGCCGTCCGAAAAGAAGTTTACATAAAAATTAAATTAGCTATTATTTTCTTTGCAGCATCTGCGATAATAGCTTTCTTCCTGCCAGACGAGCGAAGATTATTGGCACCTCAGCAGAAACAAGATGATGATGATGATGAAGAGAAAACTGAATTATAGAACTAGAAGCTTCGTCGATCTAAAATAGATTTAAAAGAATTTCTGTAAATAAGCCTGTACGCCTAAAATACTCTTTTAATTAAATATGATATTTTTTATTTTAATAAATTACTGACACTTTTTAATCGTTGTATTCCTTTAACCATTATGCCGTAATTACATTTGGTCGTTAGCCAAAGGTGCACGAAGAACGTTATTCGAATTCAGGCACCCGAAGCAATATTTGTGATAAGATCCGAAATACGGAGATCCGTAGAAGGACCGGTGTGTACGACATAGCCCGATAAGTTAGCACGCTGAAGTGGCAATGGGCAGGCCACATCGCTCGAGGATCTGACCACCGTTGGGTAAGAAAGGTCCTCGAGTGGCGACCACGTACCGGACGACGCAGCGTGGGGCGGCCCCTAACAAGGTGGACTGACGACATCGTCAAATGTGCTGGGAGCCGCTGGATGCGGATAGCGCAGGACCGCGCATTGTGGCGTTCTATGGGGGAGGCCTATGTCCAGCAGTGGACGGAGAAAGGCTGATGGATGGATGGATGGAAGCAATATATATACTGGAATTCGGGCTGGAAGACGGTGTTGGGTAAACAAAAGGAAATCTACCAGAATTCGGGCGTACTCGATTCCGTTCATTTAGACTTCGTCGTTTACCCGAATTCCATTGGCACTCGTGTTCGGGCTAACGAACAAGTGTAAATAGCGCACTTAGGAATAGTATATACTCATTTTCCACTCGTGTCTTATCTTTTCCACAATGATCCCAAAAATATTCATACAAACGGAGAGCTTTCTCTGCCCGCTGCAACATGCTGGCTCGCAAGTTCGCTCGCTGTACTGCAGATGTTAAATTTACCTTGTTCAAGGCCTACTGCCAGTCTCTGTATACGTGCGCTCTGTGGGTCAGATATACGCAGCGGAAATACAACGCTATCCGTGTACAATATAATAATTAGACTTGCAACGAGGTATACCGAATACCGAATATTCGGCGAGGCCCCTGACCGAATAGCATAGAATATTAGGCAAAAGTATTCGGCTGGATTTTAGCGTCAAAAACTTGTACAGGCGTGATTGTTTCGCGCTCCTTTGTTTTGTTTCAACCTGCCGTCCTCAAGCTAAAATGACAAAACCAATTTTTGAGATATGGCCAAAAACGGCGCGTAAACTTTAAATTATTGCGATTATGTAACCATTCATCACATGACTGAATGAATTAAAAACTGGTAACTTGTTTAATACCGATAATGATTAAATTATGTACCTGTTTTATGTACCAATGACTACTTAATAAATGATTATAAAAGAAATGAAAACCTTACCCTTCTAAATTTTGATTACCACAATAATTCAAATACATAGAATCCTCCATTTTTCCAATTCAGAAGATGATTATGTACCTGTGTTATGTACCAATGACTACATAAATGATTATATAACAGAAATGAAAATATTAATATATACGTAATCAATCGATTTTAATTTTTCATTTTACCAATTATTTCTCTGACAAAATATATTATTTAAGTATTCGGTATTCGGCCGAATAATATGTAGATATTCGGTATTCGGCCGAATATAATAAAAACAGCCGAATAGGCCGAATACCGAATAGTAACCGAATATTCGATGCAAGTCTAATAATAATGGGTTGAGGATGTTGTTGGGGCTCCCACGCTACTGCAGTGCATCAGGTATGTTCGCAGATGCCCACTTCAAACACTTCCCTTCAGTGATGCGCAAGAGAATTGCATCGCTAATGCACAGGGTTCGTGGGGACGTGGGTAGGCCAACAGTATTCTTGATGTTATCGGGAAAAAACCGGTGCGCCATTCCGTGACCGGTACCTCAGATGATAAATATATGAATTAACATTATGATCCAAAATGTACTAACATAGTTTTTAAGGTTTGATTGTTACTAACATTTCTATAGATCTAGACCTGAAATAAACATTATATTGTTTTAAACTTTCATGTTCACTAACATTACATATAACAACATTACATAACTCTTTAACAGTTACTCCGTGATCATGGCGCTTGCAACAGTGACGAAATATCGGAAACTCGCTAAAAACAAGGTACATGGTAACAATCCCGTAAATGACTTACTTATATTACTGAAATAAACATTATCTCTTATGTATTAGACAAGTCCGTCCGTCCGTCTGTCTGTGGTGCTGTTTCAGCGGCCAAACCGTAAGAGATAGATAAAGAGAATATTTAAGTTATAAGTTAAGAATAGTGTGATAAGACTACAAACCGGATTTGAGTAACGTAGCACTTCCGGTTTTCGAGAAATCACGAATTTCAAACAAAACCACACAAAATCTCCGAAGTTCTCAATTAATTAATTACTTTTTTTTTTAAATCAGGTTTTGGTGAACATTTGGTTCACTGGTTTGCTAGTTATTATTATATTTAAGTATCATTATACTTAATGTATTTCGATCCGTAGTAGTACCCAAGTGTTTTAATAATGTAATATGCTTGCCACGCATGCATAAGTTTAGGTACAATGAGAAAGTGTTAACAGGTACCTACATTTATAGAAATTTAAATGTTAATGATAACAACAATAGCTCGGAATGTTTTATCAATTTAGCGAGCACTTTTTGTGTAGTTCATAATTTAGTCACTCGAGTAGATAACTTTGTAGTGTAGTGTTATGTCGATTGCCAAAGTAATTGAACTCGTTTAGGTAAACATAGAGAGAGCATTTCGATAAACATTTTATTCAAATGGACTCTTCAGAATTACGTAATTTTTTATTGCGTCAGGACTACTAGAACTAGACTATTTTCGCACTTGTTTATTTATCAATGTGTTATGAAGTGTTTTAACGAACTATAGTAAATATTGTTCAGTGGTTAATAAAATGTCTGTGGTTTTGGATAATGAAGAAGGAGTACCGTTTGAGGAGGCACTTGACAGAACAGGTACCTTCTCAGTAGAAGTGGAACATGTACTTTTACGGGTTTTTTTTTATGATTTTTGGCTTGCACAGACTAGGGACGCTTGTCTGTTGACATTTCAGTCCGCCAAAATAGATTGCTTACGTGACGTATTAATAGTCTCGCGTAGAAAATGTCCCCCGAACAACTGAGGACACTGAGTCCGGTCGACAGGGCAAAAGAACGGAGTCCATAAAAAAAATGTACTCATGTGACTAGGCGCTTGCTGCACCTAGTCACATGAGTACATTTTTTGTTTTTTTAACATTTGCACACAGTGAACTTTAGTCAGTGCATTTCGTGCGCACTCGATCGTATTTAAAGAGATGGACCCAGTACCCTTAGTACGAGTTTGAGCTCACGAAAACTATCATAGTTTTCGTAATTGTAAATTATGTTCCTATGTCCATTTTGGGGAAAAATTAACCAAATATACTTAAAAATTAAGAAGACACAAATGATTTAATTACAAAGGACATTGGGCAAAAATGTAAGGACGCTGCACCCACGTCCGCCACGGCTTAAACTACATTTGTTTGAATGGTATTATAGTCTTGATCATCTGTGCCAAAGCACATCAAATTCCATCCCGGGGGTCTTTAGTTATTTTAAGTTAAATAGGTACAAGTGCTATAACGAACGAACATTAATGAAACAAGGGAATTAATTGAGTTAGTTAGGACGAACTCGACCTTACAAAAGGGGGCTCAGGTATTATGGGAGTACTTCACAAGGTGCAAGGGTGCCTCCTTATGTCATTCTGCCGCGCTAGAGTAAATTCAAAAATCCCCGCATGGGTTGGGGTTTTTTCAAATATTCTGTTCTTTGTAGTAAATTGTCTTCTATGTTAAACGGAGCGACCACAAATCACACAAACTTGTCCACGCTTCGTAGAAAACATCATTCCACTTCATCTATACTAATTGACAAAACCGATAATCGTGTTCCAATATCCAAAGCGTGTTAGATAAAAATCAGTCAAGTGACAGGGAGCGCACAATCACAACGAAGTAAGACGAGTCGACTATTTGCAACTGCAAGTCCATCAACACCTGTAAACCGTTTTGAGGTGTCCTTGTAAGTGCAAGCGCGGGATGGTCGGCAGGCTTTGTCGTATATCTGGTTGTATAGTACGATATGGCATATTATTATGGTTAATAATAATATAAAATGAAGGTACTATAAAATGAATTTATTTAGCTACTTAAATATGCCCATGTGTCATATCTTTTAACTACAAGGATATAGTTTACGGTGTCATATCTTTTGACTGCCAGGATAATTTTTTTCGGTGTCATAAGAAAAGGGTAGTTTTTCATAGATCTTTCGATTCATACTAATTACATTGTTGGCGGAGGTGGGTGCGTTTTGCCCATTGTCCTTTAAACTCTGTTTAATTGTATTGAAACGAAAACAATAAAATCAACGAGTGTGAGCTCAGGAAAACTATCATAGATTTCGTAATTGTAAAACTCGTAATAAGGGTACAGTATACTAGTTTAAAACGACTAATTTAAAAAAAAAATGTTCACGACATCACAATGTAATCTGAGAATAGGTACGTCCATAGCATGCGCTTTTCAAAATCTCCGCAGGCAAAAGTGTTATCAAACACAAAAAAAACACCCCTATTCGCACGATAGTCGCTAATTCATGATTTTTTTTTCTCTTTGCATGTTATAATTTAATTTAAATCTCTCTCAATCATTGTAAAAATGGAGTAAAATTTTCGATATAACAATAACTGAAACTTTGATTGCACATAATCGAGGATTTAGAGTTTATTTATTTATTTGGCATTCATTTGTTTTTTCAACATTCATTTTTTATGACGAGGTAAGAAAGGTAAGGTATAGGTTGAAAATATTATATCGAAACTGCACCATTGATGGTGCAAGTCAACGGTGCTTTCGGAACAACGGGATCTGCGTTGGCCCTTTACGAAAGAAACATCACAATATGCTGGACTATGAACGTGAGAAAAGAAAAGAATGCACCAAATGCAGTATATCAATAGGTTGATATAATCACAAATTGTTATAAACAGTCAGTTAGCGCAATTGGTCTAACTGTGGCCACAATTCCAACGCGTACAAAGAAATTTGGAGACTCATTTCTTTGTCGCACTATCCGCAAATGGAATGTTCTGCCCGTTCACGTGTTCCCTCCCTCTTACAACCTGGGATCCTTTAAAAGAGGCGTGAAGAAGCAACATGCAGGCCGGCAGGGTGAGGATGCCTGGTATGGCAGGTAGAACTGCTGTATCAACTATCTTCGCGTCTGGACTTCACCTTCACTTAACATCAGTTGGGGTGGAGTAATTCGTCGGACCAATCTTTAAAAAAAATATAAAAAATGACCTTTCCGAATAACACCTTGGTTGCGTAATTGACTATTGAAATTTTGATGAAATGAAATGAAATGAAAAGTCATTTATTCAGTCTAGGCTGTTACAAGCACTTGTGAAAGTCAAGAAGCTACGCCATCGGTTCGCAAAACTACGGCGGGAGACCTTGTACTGAGAAGAACCGGCAAGAAACTCAGCAAGGGCTGCTTTTTTCTCCCTGTATTGATATATACAGAGTCGTCAAGTTGAAAAATGACTTCAGACATACTTCTGAAGTCACCTTCCATTACATCATTTAGGGTATAGATATATAGTTACAACAAATTTTATATTTAGTATATATAGGAAGCGGCATTAGATAGGTACCATACTACTGTTACAAAACTGACTCATACCCATCAAATAAGAAATTACAAGAAACACTATGTCCATGCATTACGATCATTTAGATAATCATTAACTTTATAATAGCCCTTATTCATAAGAGTATTCTTAATCTGAGATTTAAATTTGGTTAGTGGAAGCTCCATCAGATCTTGGGGAATGGGTAATATTAGTAGACTTTCCATTCAAGGAATCGTTAGTGATTCCATCATAGAAATCAATCAAGATCCCATGATGAAGTTCACACAACAATCGCGTTGCCGCTTGATCAAGTGGTTTCATCAAGACAAACTGACCGTGTATGGGGAGCATGTGGGGAGACAGTATGGTAGGATATGCCACTTGACGGAAGGATTTTGGTTTGATCAAGCCTATTTCATCAAGCGGCATGATGGTAAATTACCACCAAAATTGCATGATTTACGATGTTCTTTAATATTATCCTCAGGATTCGGCCTCTACAGTGTTTCCATGACTGCGTTAGCGGGCGTGGTCATAATATCCTTCGTCTGCATATTCTATAGCAGCACCATCGTCGTGCCAGTGAGCGCCTGCCAGCTGAATACCACCGGAGCACAGCAAGGCATGCTCGTAGCAGGCCCTATCGTAGGTTCGTATGGCGGTAATGGTCATAATATCCTTCGTCTGCATATTCTTTAGCAGCACCATCGTCGTGCCAGTGAGCGCCTGCCAGCTGAATACCACCGGAGCACAGCAAGGCATGCTCGTAGCAGGCCCTATCGTAGGTTCGTATGGCGGCAATGGTCATAATATCCTACGTCTGCATATTCTTTAGCAGCACCATCTTCGTGCCAGTGAGCGCCTGCCAGCTGAATACCACCGGAGCACAGCAAGGCATGCTCGTAGCAGGCCCTATCGTAGGTTCGTATGGCGGTAATGGTCATAATATCCTACGTCTGCATATTCCTTAGCAGCACCATCTTCGTGCCAGTGAGCGCCTGCCAGCTGAATACCACCGGAGCACAGCAAGGCATGCTCGTAGCAGGCCCTATCGTAGGTTCGTATGGCGGCAATGGTCATAATATCCTTCGTCTGCATATTCTTTAGCAGCACCATCTTCGTGCCAGTGAGCGCCTGCCAGCTGAATACCACCGGAGCACAGCAAGGCATGCTCGTAGCAGGCCCTATCGTAGGTTCGTATGGCGGCAATGGTCATAATATCCTTCGTCTGCATATTCTTTAGCAGCACCATCTTCGTGCCAGTGAGCGCCTGCCAGCTGAATACCACCGGAGCACAGCAAGGCATGCTCGTAGCAGGCCCTATCGTAGGTTCGTATGGCGGCAATGGTCATAATATCCTACGTCTGCATATTCTTTAGCAGCACCATCTTCGTGCCAGTGAGCGCCTGCCAGCTGAATACCACTATAGTACAACAAGGCATGCTTGTAGCAGGCCCCTAGGTGCGTTTAAAATCTCATTTTATTATTTCAACAAATTTTAATTAAAATATTGAAGAACAAGAAGCCATAGCGATCTTCAATAGATCCATTCGAATTATAGCAAATCAATCCAAATAATTTATTGCATTCCTGTGGTTGGTTGCAGAGATGGTTATATAGCTTATTTTTATATAGGATACGGGATATCCTCCACTTTACTGCTGTTTTATAACAAAATGTGTTTTATTGTACCGCCACCGACTTCAATGTGCGACCATTAAATGAGGCGTGAAGAACCAACATGCAGGGCGGCAAGGTGAGGATGGCTGGTGTGGCAGGTAGAACTGCGGTACCAGCTATCTTCACGTCTAGACTTCACCGTCACTTAACATCAGGTTGGATGGAGTCATTTGTAGGCCCTATCTATAAAAAATGTACTTTAAGGTAGTAAATGAATAATGTCTATTCCAGGTGTAATTTTGGGAGCGATGTTTTGGGGATACGTAGCTGATCAGCATGGCAGGAAGAAGACCTTGTTGACGTCACTAATCGCTGGGGCCACGATTAATGCTTTCGCCAGCCTCTCGACTGATTGGTTCTTTCTTTTGATTCTGCAATTCATCGCTTCATTGATGTAAGATGAACCTTGTATTTTTATACAAAAGAAACTTAATTTTAATTATAATTGAGCTTAAAATTAAAGTCTTAAAATATAAGCCACCAATACAAAGTCCAAAACAGTTTACACTCATTATAATTTGTTATCCAAGAAATGAATGAACACCTTAAAAAAGTTTAAATATAAGTTTTAATAATTAAGTGTCTGAATCTAAAGAAAATATAATTAGAAAAAAATCCACGCGGACCAGGCAGCTGACGGGACTCGAACCCTCACCCTTTGCTATCCGGGCGAATGCACTGACCAATTATGCTACCGCGGCCCTGATTGCCGAGTCGAAATTTTTCTAGCCATTCTTAAGCTGCATACCAGCGCCATCTCTTCGCATTGTAGGTAACCCACAATGTCAAATGAATACTTTTACAAGTATTAAACATCAGGGCATGCTTGGTCCGCGAGGATTGTTTTCTAGTCAAACTTTTCTTTAGATTTAAACATCTAGCAGTTAAATGCTTAAAAAAACATAACTATGGTTGATATTTAATTTATTTTTAATTTTCTTATTCTTCGTGTTTACGTACACCAACGTCGCTAGGCACATCTTTGTGACTTCTTCATTTGTTAGAAACAATACTTGTCCCTTTGTCGATTAAAATTTTAAGAATATTATTTTTTCCAATAAATGTAATTTAAATATGATATTGTTATATTTTCGCCAGGATATCAGGTCAATACTCGTTGGCAATGACTCTCGTCAGCGAGAGTGTGCCTTTGGCCAAACGGAACATCGTCGTTCTCATGGTGACTTGTATCTTTCTTCTTTCACAAGGATTAATGGCAGGTATGTTATGCCACAAAAACTCTCTCTAAAAGCTAAGTTAGGGCTTCTCTTAATTATTTTTATCGTTTTTAATAATCTATACTATTATTATAAAGAGGAAATATTTGTTTGTATCTTCGTCTGTTTCTGTATGTTAAAATGGTAACTAACGAGCGTAATGATAAAAGGCCACCACAACCTATAGACGCTTGCGATACCAATAATATCCCTCGCACAACAGTACACAACCTACCCTGACTCAACCCATACCCCGTGGAGCCCTAGAACTTCATTTACCCACAAAAACATAACACCACTAAGTAAAAGGTTATTATGTGACTGTAATCTTCTTAAAGGTGGAGGTTATTTCCCTAGACGGGCGCTCCAATTCATTTAGAAAACTACATTATTCCTGAGTGACATAGTTAGGAATATTAAAACAATTTCGTCTGTGCAAAGCCGGGGCGGATCGCCGGTTCAATAATATCCACCATGAGTGTTCAGCAGGGCCTGGATCGAATGCAGCAGCGTGGGATTGTTATATTGATGTTAAATGAAAAATTGTATGATGGCAGCACACGTTTATTCTTGCAGAGCACAAGGGGGAAAAAGGGACGACAGTCACATCTTATAGGTTAGGCAAAGAGTTACATAGACCAACATAACTTACATCCTTCATAGACAAACCTTTACACTCTTTTTCCATAAAAAGTAAAGCAAAGGAATATACAACCACAGAGTATATAGTGTACTTAAGTTTAACATATAACAATATATCTTAACAATGAGGACCTTGATGTAAGCAACAAAATAACAACAACAACACAACCCTGGTTTCAGTAATGGCGATGCCAATAGTCCCGCTGACTTTTTCGTATCGACTGCCGTATTTGGACATCTACTGGACCTCATGGAGACTGCTGCTGGTCATCTATTCACTTCCCAGTCTCTTCACTGCTCTCTGGCTCAATCACATGCAGGAAAGCCCTAAATTCGTATACTCAAAGGGTACGGAAACTAAAGCACTGGATATTCTGAAAATTATATACAGAATCAATAACAGAGACCGCTCAGATGAATTTAAAGTAAGGTCCAATATTAAACTAATAGTTTTTCATAATATAATTCGATGGTTTTTGTAAATAAATGTGTTAAATATTAATGTTGACCTATGTATTTCAGGTGAAAAGTCTGATGAGACGAACTTCAATAAATTTTGAATACGTACCTAGAAATCACTGCATGCTATTGTTCACGCAACCTCTACTTAAATATACTTTAATAATGACATTGCTGTTTCTACTTGAACAGTAAGTATCAATAAGTGATAAAGAGATAAGTAATATTTATTGGACTGGAATATTTATTGGAGTGGAATCGAAGGAAGTCAAATTTGAGCCGACAGCTTTTCCAAAAAGGAACAGCCTGTTCCAGGGCAAAATTTTATTTAGACATGCGTTAATATTGTAATGTATAGCGTGCTCTTCTTGTATGTCAATAAATATTGGTCAACTCTATTTAGATACTTCAGTGTGATTGAATAACTAACACATTATCTGAGGCAGAGTATCATTTTCCTGAAGCTTTAAGTTCCTGTTCGATGCAAAAATTCTACGAATATTTGTTCCGATTACAAATATTCGTAGTATTTTTGTATCGAAATGAAATGAAGGATGGTTTACCGGTTTAATAAGTATTATGACTTTTTCCATAAGGTAAAGGTATTATCGAAATCATTGCAGATTGGCAGCTTTCAAAGTGTGGCTACCTACGATCGCTCACCGCTATGTGCAGGTAGTGAACTACGGGGAGGGCAGAAATCTCACCTTGTGCAGCATCATCGCATCCAGTATGGATGACCCGAAGGTTAAAGAAAATTCTGTGAGTGTAATATAGTAAACTGTCCCAATTAATAGTAGGCTAGGTTTGGGCTCCCAAACGGGGATTTTGGGATTTACTCGAGCGCGACAAAATAAAATAAGGGGCGCAAACTTGCACCTTGTGAAGTACCCGACCATACCTGAGGCCTTTATATGGGGTCGAACGTCTAGAGTAGCAAAAAACATGACAAAAACTTTTGGTGGCATCAAAATCGTCAGTATTTTGAATAGGAGCTACTGGAGAATTTACATAACATCCCGTTACGTAAACTCCACATCATGTCATGCCACAGTCATAGCTCTACATTAAGGGCTTAGGCATGGTGGAAGTAATTCACAAGGTGCAAGCGTAAGGCAGGCGGGCACACCTTATGTTATTTTGTAGCGCTCGAATAACTCCCAAAATCTCCGCAAACTCCCCAACTTTAGTAACAGTATCATGTTGCCTACCCTGATCTAATGCTCGTAGATCATTATACGGTTCGCTGCAACAAAAATTATTTGCTTCGGTGTTCTAAGGTGGAGGTCCATCCTTCCGGGTGTTCTGATTCTAGCAAATAATATGCTCTATCCACCCTGTAATGCTTCATGTAATTAGGTACTTATTTGTTTCTTAAGTTTTCACGCACATCACTCATTAAATAAAACAAGTTTCGAAGGGTTAGATGTACTGATTTTATTTATTTATTGACGTTTAACATCACTTAACTTCATGTCCATTCAGGCCATCAAGTAAATAAAAAAATCATTATTCTGACAACGCATTTCCCGCAAAGGATGCGAAACGTCAATAAATAAATAAATTCAGTGCATCTAACCCGTTGAAACTTGTTTTATTTCTATATTAATGCCTAATTTTAGCAAATTAGTTAAATCTGGATTCAACAAAAGTAAATCTCGATTCAACAAAGATATAACCAGTTTTTTTTAATCAATGTCAATTTGACATTATTTCGTTTGGTTATTTATTGAGATTTAGCAAAAATGCTGCACATATGGACTTAGGTTCTTTCTGATTCTTAGGAAACAAAAATGATTATTTATCATTCTGAAGAATTTTCATGTCATCGAGGCCTTGAAAGAAGTTTCTTTAAAAATTCTTCAATTAAGTTATCATTGACTTACTTGAATATTATAAATAAATATCAATTATACTTACGTTTCATGATTATTTTCTTGTTCTATAGGAGATTGCTGCCAGGTGTGGGTTGGATTTCGAGGCTTTGCTGATCGTCCTGGTGATTACTATGATGTTATCAGTAACTACCGCAATTATGACTATGGTAAGCATGAATTCTGACATTGTTCCTGCGCTCATTGAGAAGATGTGGAGGTGGGCAGGTGATGTGGCTCGTAGTACAGACAAAAGGCGACGTCGAGCTCTTGTTGAGTGCCAAACTAGACAGGGGGCAGTCCTCCAGATAGTCCGACGACATCATCAAAGTAACAGGAAGGAACTGAATTCGGGTCGTAAAACACCGAGTAAATTGGCGCACCATGGAAAAAACCTTTACCCAGCAGTATGTAGATAAAGGTTGGAGCTGAAGAAGAAGCATAAATGGATTAGATGTAAATTTTCATTGAAAGAAGAACAGAGATTATTAGCTTAAAATAGCGGGACCATTGACTTTCTTAATTTTTACATTTTATTTTAGTCGCATTTTCTATCGATTCAACCGATTATGCATGTCAATAAATATTGTAGAAGACACAAATACCTACATAATTTTATCATGAAACGATATTTCAATAAGAAAAAAAGGCTGGGTGACCTAAATCTTAATATCTCGAGCTTCTCCGTGCTTCGAAAGGCACGTTAAGCCGTTGGTGCCGGCTGCATCTGCAGTCGTTAGCACATACCAATCCGCACTGAGCCCGCGTGGTGGGTCATGGCCGAATCTCCCAATTCCATCCATAGAGAAGGCTTGTGCTCAAGCAGTGGGGTAATTAATAGGCTGGTGATGATAATGATGAAAAAGAAAAGACTAAATGTGCAATTTCTAGTATTTTTCAACGAATGATCGCTTTAGGCTTAAAATAGCAAAGGGCGCCAAATTGGTAAATTTACCAAAGAGCACTGAGAAACATGATCTCGCTCTACACTGAACAACACTGGTGCTTGTTAGCCTACGTGGATCATTGTCTCTTACTTCTTCTTAAAGTTTATTGCAAATCGCAAGTGGCCTAGGGCGCTACCACTATGCCCTATCATTATAAGTTACAGCAGGGTATCTACTATTTCGCATAATGTAACCCAGTTTTCTCTATTTGGCGCTCTGCAAGATTTGACGTAGCTGACCAGCTCGACGGAGAACTTCTTCATTGATCACTCTATGAGTCCAGCTATTAGCCAACATACACCTGTAGGCCCACATTTCAAAGGTTTCTATGCGTATCCTGGGGTGCTCCTTCATCGTCCAAGCCTCGCATCCTAAAAGAAGTATGGGCCATATATAACACTGCATTCAACATTATCCAAATACGCCAATCAGTGGTCATATTTTTTTGCTTACAGGCGGTGGGTCGATTCGGCAGACGCAACATGGTGATGATAATCACTTTGATATCAGGCGGGAGTGGCATGCTCGTGAACCTGGTGCCTAACTCCGTTGCCAGCGCGGCGCTGTTCGTGCTCCAACTCCTGGGAATCGTCGTGATTGGACTATATACTGCGTTGTGTATGACGCTGTTCCCTACTCGTTTAAGGTTAGTGGAATACTTAGTTCGATAGATCTTAAAGGTACAAGTCCGAACTGAACCGTAGACCACAGGGCGCAGCTGTAGGAGACACTTCTAGTTACTATGAATCTCTATGAAATTGATTCTGAGCGCGGCGACATGCCGCTGCTGCACAATGCATATTAATAGTTGTAGCAGATGTGGTTTTGAACTTAGACTGTATACCGAGCGACAACCATCGTCGTGTGGCGTGAGAACGTCAGGACTGCATTGTACACTTTTCTGGGATGAATGGTGTCCTTTTAAATTTGCTAGACAACCAGTCAAAAGTTGGAAGAAGTAAATAAACCATTTTAGAAGATTGTTCGTCGTCCTGCTACTAGAGTCTGTGCGGAAAGAGAATGGGATTTAGATTGGAGGGCGCTGTAGTGCCTTTATACCGTATTTGTAAGGTTTTACCCCTTTTAGACATGATTAAATACAAAAAACCGCAAGAAATCACAACAACAAACAAATCCGTATCAATACAAAACTTTGACGTTTTACAGATTGCTGGGTTTGATTGCCAAATAAAAATCTTAATGTTAGCTCCGTTTTTCGCCACGCCCATTCTCTTTCCGACACTCTATATAGTTGATAGTTGAAACTGAGGTTGCTAATAAAACCCCAAACAAAAGAAAAAGTTACCGTAACATACTATCTTTTTAGTTATGTGCAGATACTTAAATCGTTAGCCGTAAAATCAGCCAATCCAAATGTCAAAGTGGGGTTATACATATAGGTTATCAATATTGCTTAAAGTTGGAAGAGGTTGTTTGTGGAAATATTAAAATTGGAACGTACTTAACACAGATTTATTAATATTACGATTCAGTATGTTTATTTTTCATGTTGGTGGATTTCTTTTTTGTTTGTTTAATCTGTCATTGTAGTTTATTTGTATTTATGTAAATGCTGTATTCACCTGTAAAAAGCATATCTTTAAGTATGGTATTTATAAATTGTAATGTAAAATTACCTTTAAGTTGTTGGTGAATCTTTGTCAATAAAATAACAAAATAAAAAAAAAACAGCTAGCCTTTCTCCTCATAGTATTTGGAACGTATTAAGATTTCATAAAACTGATTAATAAGTTTGACTTTTTAATTTTTCAGGGCATTAGCTATGACCTTGACCATGACTGGTGCACGGGTAGCTAACTTCATGTCCATTCAGGTCATCAACTACCTGCTGATCCACAGTTGCGATCTAGCCTTTTATATCTACGGCGCTATGTTGGCATGTAAGTTTTCATCATTATCAGCATATTATTCATGTCGTCACTGGTGGGGCAGTGAAGTAGGGATAGATCCCTATGGATGAAATTTCGCTGTAATGGGGTTTAGATTAGGTAAGGAACCCGCATGTCCCTGTCCGCCTATTGCAGATTGGTGGGTGCTAACGACTGCAAATGCAGCCAGGACTATCAGCTTGATTTGCCTTCGAAAGCATCCATCCGATGAGCTGCCATTGAAGAAGTTCCCGAATCGATCCTCGATTTTTTTATGTTAAAGTGTGGCAAACTAGCATAAGGCCCAATAATAATAATAATAATAATAATAATCATTTATTTGCCAAAATATGGTTACAATAGTTGTTAGCTCTTTAGTTTCCAGCATATTTTGTTGAATGTCAACGTGCAAATATTACATAATATAAAAGACAATTAAATTAATGAGGTTCACTGACGTCAAAATAAATAAAATTAATTTAAAGATAATAGATATACGCAATGTCACAAAAAAAAAAGTACTTATAATCTATTCATAATTAAAAAAGTCAGGAAAAATTGCATCGATATTGAATTAAATGTCAGAAAATTACATATATTTATCATTTACATAATTTGATTGATAATACATACCCACCATACCATCAGGCGAGTCATATGCTTGATTGCCACAAACTTTAACATAAAGAAATACTAAATTAAAGTTTATCTGTATTTTCTCTACCTATATCAGCCCGTATAGCGGAAGATGCGATTCGAATCCCATTGAAACCTGTCCCCGTAATATGAGCACCACGATTTACAATTACTTACCTAAGTATATCATGTTTTTTATCGCGTCTAACTGTCAAATTCCATAGTGATTTGACAATTGAGCGTGATAAAAACGCGTTATACTTATATATCATATCGCGGTGCTGATGCTAGTTTAGACCGAGTGGGTATTTTTGTAGTAAAATTTTCTTTAGATTAATTCATCTACAAATGAATGCGTTGAGTTAAATGCTCAATAAAAATATATTAATTTATCTGTATTGTTGTTTCAGTTTCGGCTGTTGTGGCGTATTTTTTACCCCGGGATACACCTACGACGAGAAATAATCACCAAATATTACACGAAGAATCATTTGATTGACAATAAAATAATTATTGAAAATACTCTCTTATCGTTTTTGCACTCGTTTAATGAAACTTAATTAGAAGTTATTATTACTAATTAACGGAATTACGGAACCCCGTAGTCCTGACAAGGAACCCTTATAGTTTCGTTATGTCCGTCTGTAAGTCCCCTGTAGGATAAAATTTATTTATTTATTTTATTCTTCATGCACATACTGTATAATGGCGGACTTAATGCCGTAGGCATTCTCTACCAGTCAACCATACGGTGTTGTGGAGATTTTAGTGGCAGGGTGCACAACTGACGTAGAGATCACATTTAAAGAAATATTAATTTTACTCATAATAAATATAATAATATAACAATAACATACCTATATAAGTAAATATATACAAATAATATAACTAAACATATACATACACATACATACTTCATATAATACATACATGACGACAAACTACTTAACGAAACGCCTGTTCCAATAAAAAGGTTCGCAGCTTGGTTTTAAATGAATGTTTGTTGGGGGACATTCTAATGTCTAGCGGGAGTTCGTTCCACAAAAGTATAGTTTTGACGAAGAAGGAAGAGTGAATGATATCGGAATTGTGAGATGGAACGACTAGTAAACGATTGGAAGAAGATCTAAGATTTTTGGTATCAGAGGTACATAAGTACTGAAACTGAGAAGTGAGATAAGGGGGGGCATTTGGAGAATCCAGCAAAGTGAAAACACCCAAATATAAAAACTATTTTTAGGGTACCTGTTCTACATGTAACCTGGTGAATTTATTTTCATCATCTACCCTATCCTGTAGGATATCGTTGATTAGGTCCTTTAAAATTACTTAGACGTTCCTAAGACTATTGTATCGATTTGGGGATCCGTTTGGGAAATATTGAACTTTAAAGTGCTAATTTTTTTTCAAGTAGGGCTCCGTAGTAAGTAAACTATTGGCTTGAAAAACCTGGAAATATTTATGATAATGAGTAGTGATTTACATGAATGTTTAATTAAAAGTATGACGGTTATGATAGATCTGTTAGTTTACGAGTAATAGTCGTTCAACTTTAGTTGAAGAAAATTTCTTACCTATTGAAAATCCCTTACAAGAAAACATTAATAGTGACATAGATGAAGTTATAAGTAATAAATATAAATAATTATATATACGTAAAACCTTGCATAGTAACAAAATCTAAAAAAAAAAATACTCAAACCACAATAAAATATCATTAGTTCCTCAAAGCTACCGTAAGTACCAACGGCAACGGCTTCTAAATCGTGGTAACGTTACGTTTTTATAAAAAGTACTAGCTGTCCCAGCGAACTTCGTACCGCCATAAAAAAATAGGGGTTGGTGGTAGAAGGGTGAAAATTTAGGGTTGTATGTATATTTGTATGATGTATCATAAAATTTTTTTAAAAAAAATATCTAAAATTAACGAAAATAATGGGGGGGTGGTACCCTTAACATTTAGGGGGATGAAAAATAGATTACATCCGATTCTCAGACCTACCCAATATGCACACAAAATTTCACGAAAATCGGTCGAGCCGTTTCGGAGGAGTTTAACCACAAACACCGCGACACGAGAATTTTATATATTAGATATAAGCACTTGAAAAGATCGGCGGTTATACCGCATCCAGACCCGTCTTTCCTAGTGGGCATTTTGGGCAAGTGCCCATAGCCCCGCTATCTATAGGGGCAAACCAAGTAATAAATGCAAATAGTTTGCAGTATGTTTAGTTTTTGTTTATCACTCCGATTGGCGTACTTTACTTATAGTAGTTCAATAATGCTTCTTGTTAGCAGTTATAAGTATAGCTTACCAGTATATCTACTCTTGAGGGCATTTACACCCTTGTGATACGTTTATAAGTCACCCAAGCTCATAGTGCACCCTTAATTTCGGTCTTTAACTAATTATAAGTTAATGTATAAGATCAGATATACTACAAAGTGTTACATTATCTATACTTATAATAAATCTGTAGAGATGTCAATTCTGTACATGAAATATATTTTTAAAATAACTATCAGGGGGTGATTAGTGATCGATACTGATGCCAAAAATGCAATCAGTAAATTTTTTGTCTGTCTGTCTGTCTGTCTGTGTGTTTGTTCCTTATAGAAACAAAAACTACTCGACGGATTTTAACGAAACTTGGTACAATTATTCTTCATACTCCTGGGCAGGTTATAGTATACTTTTCATCACGCTACAATCAGTAGGAGCAGAGTAGTGAAGGGAAATGTTGGGAAAACGGGAGAAGTTACTCCATTTTTTAAGCTTCCGTCGCGTGTGCAGCCTTAATGATTGAAGTTACATAGAAATCATGTACGACGGAAATATTCTACATAAAATTGTCTAAAAAATATCCCGCAACAGCATATGTCTATCTTTTATGGTTGACTCACAATAACACGTGTAACTCCCGATAGCTTAGCAGTTCGGAGCATTCTGATCATATTTGTTTACTCTTACGTTTATAATACTCGGTATAGAAACACCAAACTTATACATGAAATAAGCCATCGCGCCGTCGCACGTGAATACTGAATCATACTATAAGGATTATTTTTGTGTAACGGTTGCCGCGCTCGACACGGGTCGCGGCAGCGGTAGGGTATCAAAGGTCCGAGAGCGAGCTGTCTAAATCTGTTTTCTGCGTCGCTCCCCCCCTGGGGGACGATCGCTTCCGATGAAGCCTTAGAGGCCTTCCCGGCCAGAGGCAGCCCCTACGGGTGTTTTTTAGTCAGTACGAGTCTGACATAACCTTGCAGCCGGCTGTAGGGTATCCATGAGGATTTCTCATCTGCTCCCCCGCCTGGGAGATCGAAACCGTGCTTATCAGCGCGACTTTTAGTCTTTAAATAGTTTATTTGAATTTCTTTTGTTGTTATTTTGTAAATCAGATATTAGTTGTTTTGGTAGTGTTTAAATATTCGTTCAAATTAAAAATTATTAAGCGTAGGTACTTTTATTAATTAAAGTAGTTATAAGTATTTATTTTTAAGTGAAGGAGGTATAGGTAGATAGTATTGCACAGGCGTTTCAGCTTTATTTTCATTTCTTTTTTGTTGTGAGTTGTATATATTTCTGGTTATAATTCTATAAGAATATTTTAGTTCAAATAGTCACTTAGATTTTATGTGTAAGGTAGCTAAAGTTAGGACCACGTATTAGTTGTTTTGGTAGTGTTTAAATATTCGTTCAAAGTGTAATTTAGTCATATAGGATGAATGTACGATGGCCCATCGAAAAGGAGTAGAAGCGGTAGACAGAACTTTAAGAGATATAAGACAAAATGATCGACCCATGGGCGGTATCACAGTTTTATTTTGTGGTGATTTCCGACAAACCTTAACGGTAATACCACGGGGAAAACGAGCTGCTGAGGTTAGGGCTTGCCTGAAAAGCTCTTATTTGTGGCGTGATATACAATCGGTGCATTTGACTATAAACATGCGAGTGAGAACTGTAGATAACCCGGATGATCGTGAATTTTCTGATATATTATTAAAGAAAATACCTTCACCAAAGAAACCTATCCACTGCCTACACCAAGGAAAACTTATTCTGACGCCTGAGTTATGTTGTATAGTGCAATCCCAACAACATCTTACATCGTCAGTTTACGGTGACGTAACAAATATATTAAATAAGAACAATTCTTGGCTATGCGAAAGGTCCATTTTAACTCCTCGCAATGACCAGGCATCTGAGATTAATAATAAAATACTGTCGAATATCCAGGGGGAAAGCAAAGTTTATAGTTCAATAAATAGAATGGCCGATGAACAAGAAGCCACTAATTACCCGATAGAATTTTTAAATTCTTTAAATATGTTCGTACTTCCTTCTCATGAAATTTGTTTAAAAATTGGCATTACGATTATTCTGCTCCGAAATTTAAGACCACCACAAATTTGTAATGGAACTCGGCTTAAAGTAACCCAGTTGCAACAAAATGTAATCGAGGCTCAAATTTTAATAGGTTGCGGTGCAGGAGAAACCATCTTTATTCCCAGAATTCCCATAATACCAAATAATTTTCCATTCCAATTTAAAAGAACGCAATTCCCAGTATCGGTGTGTTATGCAATGACAATAAATAAGGCTCAAGGGCAGACCTTTCGTGTTGTTGGAGTAGATCTCGGTGTCAGTTGTTTTTCATATGGTCAGTTATGTCGGTCTTTCCCGGGTTAGCAGTCCTAGAATTTTTTATGTTCACGTTCCGGACGGGTCAAATTTCAACGTAGTCTACCCGGAAGCTTTGCGCTGAAGTATTTTCATTCTATATGTACTTAAGACTCATGTGAAAGCGATCTAAACAATATTACCAATACATTAACATAATAACATACAAGGAGTTACACGCTGATGGTCTCGGGGCACAGTGATAATAATAATATTCTGCGGTTCCTTATTGCGATATTTTTAACAGTATTATATTTCCCTACTAAAATACGAAAGTTAATCTGTCTATCACATCAAAACCACGGAACCCTGAGGAAGGACATATGCTACTTTTTTACGAAAAACGACGAAAACGCGGACGAAGTCGCGGGCAAAAGCTAGTAATATCTAAACCTATTTATATATCTAACCTCTTCTGTATACTTTAGACTCATAAGCATCCCTTATCGCATTAGTAAATACTCCTTGTAAATAAATGATTATATCCCATACTGTCCCACGCTGCCCCTCCACATCCATTAGTATAAGTACTCCAATTCCCTTAAACCAAGACAATTCTATTCCTGACTCCGGTCGTACAACACATCGTTACTCTGTTTCTTGTTATTTCTCTTTCTTAAATAAGTGTTTAGTTTTAGTTGCAATTAAAGTATAATTATTTTTGAAAAAGACTTTTGTTCCATCGCCACGTAACAAAAGCCCATCTTACTCCATGCTTTCTATTATATGTGTGGCAGTAAATACTAAAACCGTTAAGAGAATATTATAAGTGCTGGAGGCCTATAATATCTGCACTATAGGATAATTTTGCTGCTTGGGTAGTTCATAGGGGCCCCATTATTCTAATATGCCTAGGGCCTCCAATAGGTCAAAGACGGCACTGACCGCATCATCTCTTTCTCAGGGGATGATCGCTTCAAATGAAGCTTGTAAGGCCCTTCCGGCCATAACCTTGCAGCCGGCTGTAGGGTATCCATGAGGATTTCACACCCGCTTCCCCGCCTGGGAGGAAACGAAATAAAATCGGCCGTTATCATTCGTATTAAAAATAAAAATATTGAATTGAGTTTGAGACGCAGTTTGACTTTGATTTAGGTATTTTAGTTGAGATAGAAAATAATTGGTTTTTCTAATTTCCGATATAGAAAATAAAGACTCCTGCTCAAATATATTATGGTAACTACAGGCAACTACGGAACCCTATACTGCACGAGGCACGACACGCACTTGGCCTGGTTTTTTACAATTTGTACAATTAAAATTAAACTAATGATGATATTTTATTTGTTTCTTATTTTAGAATGCATAATTGTAAATGTTTAAGTTATAATATAAAAAAATATATAATCTGGTAGCGGCATCTACGTGCAGCAGATGGCTCTTAATGCTTATGAATTTATCACCAACATTTGACCAACACAAAAAAATGTGAAAAATATCAAGATCATATCTATACTTATAATAAATCGGTAGAGAGGTCAATTCTGTACATGAAATATATTTTCAAAATAACTATCAGGGGATGATTAGTGATCGATACTGATGCCAAAAATGCAATCAGTAAAATTTTTGTCTGTCTGTGTGTATGTTCTTTATAGAAACAAAAACTACTCGACAGATTTTAACAAAACTTGGTACAATTATTCTTCATACTCCTGGGCAGGTTATAGTATACTTTTCATCACGCTACAATCAATAGGAGCGGAGTAGTGAAGGGAAATATTGGAAAAACGGGAGAAGTTACTCCATTTTTTAAGCTTCCGTCGCGTGTGCAGCTTTAATGGTTAAAGTTACATAGAAATCATGTATGACGCAAATATTCTACATAAAATTGTCTAAAAAATATCCCGCAACAGCATATGTCTATCTTTTATGGTTGGTTGTTATTGTTTATAACACAAGCCTGAGAACAAAAACTATAGTTTATACTACAGCTCTACACCGAAGCGAAGCGAGGGCGGGCCACTAGTTTTTAAAATAAAACTTACCCGTCTAGCCGTTTTATATAACGGAGTTGTTTTAAAAGATACTTGCTAGGTAATCTAAAGAAAATAAATAAAGTTATTGATAAAGAGAGATCATACGACTAAGGCACGGTAATAAGATAATATTACCGTGACTAAGGTTATACCACAAAATAGGATGCAGTCATGGTGCGATGGTTATACTAAGATGAGGACTTTTATCTCGAGTTTTATCTATCGGAAACTTTTCTCTCCTTTTTTCTAAAAAAACGGAACTGTGCTCCTGTAGTATGGCCAATGTGTTAAGGCTACGGTTATATTGTATTTAATATGATTTTTAAATGTAAACTTTGTTTTCACGCGCGTATAAACCAACTATAACCGCCGCACTTCGGCCTCACTCAACAGTGGCGCCATCAGGGGGTCATTCGCCTAACGGAAATGCTTTGGAAAACGCTAACGCTTTCGATTTTATTTTGTTATTTCTAACCGCCGAAGGTTTTCAAATACCTCCCGCTCATTTTTTTTAATATTGTTATTACCAATGCAAAAGAAAAAAAAAGAGCGCGAGGCATTTGAAAACCTCAGGCGGCTAGAAATAACAAAAATAAATCGTAAGCGTTAGCGTTTTCCAAAGCATTTTCGTTAGGCGAATGGCCCCCTGGTGAGTAAGGGTACTGTGTGTAGAGACCACACGGTAATATCGGTAAAATAACACTATCATTTGGTGAAAGCTAGAAAATGTAGGTAGTGCAAAGGTTACAAAAAATAAAAACACGCAGCCAAGCAGAAGACGGATCTCGAACCCGCACCACAATACAAATAAGAGCAGTATTCCGCCTTCATACTACGACACCCGAATCGACGCACGCACACAGACAAACGTCATTTACACGGCCGCTAACCAATCTTGACAAGACAAATCTACGCAGTGCCACGTCGAGCGCCGCCGAGACTTGTCATTGGCCGAGTTCAGTTCGCTGCGTCGTCGCTCGCGCCGCCCGCGCCGTCTGCCTCTGCAATAGTAACTATACACATACAATAAAAATCTACACAAATATGTTTTACATTTTGTAGGTACCAACCCTACCGCTCCACTCAGTCGTAGGTATCTATTTCAAAAAAAAAACGGCCAAGTTACGCTACTGCTCTTGTATGTATTGTGCCCGCACCATCCGCTATCCAGGCGGATGCACTGACCAATTATGCTTACTTTGATTTTACTCTGAAATACTAGAAGAAATTTGGCATGTCAGCGCCATCTCTTCGGATTGTGGAGGGTGTGGGTTCGAGTCCCGTTTGCTGCCTGCTGCGTGAAATGCTTAGTAGTAAAATTATCTTTAGATTTAAACAATTAGCACTTAAATGCTTAAATAATTAAAAAATAACTACTTACATAGTTAGTATTTCTCTTGGGACAAACAGGGACTGAGATCGAACCATATGAGTAAAAAGACGTAGAGAGACAAAGTTTCATATAACCTCAATGCAATCGTATCACTACTACAAGCAAGACGCGTGTGTATGAGTGACAGGGCTGCCTGTCACGCACGCAGTCACACATTGGTCATACGTAAGGGTACGGCCAGACAGAGTGCACTCAGATTCAGATTCAGACTCAGAAAACAAGCGCGAGAAATATACAGTGTAGTTTTAGCAGGTTGCCTGCTGCCACTATGGCCACCCTGCTTTAACTACACATTTCTCGCGCTTGTTTTCTGACTCTGAATCTGAATCTGAGTGCACTCTGGCCGTACCCTTCCTGTTACGTCATCGCTAGTGCTCTCAAGTGCAGGGTTGGCGGAACACTCGTGTCGTATTTGATTTCGTTTCACGTTGTGAAATAATAAATAGGGTTATCATACATTTATGAAAAATAATAGAACGTAAAATTTTCTTTGATTGAACTAGGTATAAGCAGTTGAATGCTTAATAATCTACTATATAAAAATAAGTCGGGTTTTCCTTCCTGACGCTGTAACTCCAGAACGCACGAACCGATTTCCACGGTTTTGCATTCATGGGAAAGGTCTCGGGCTCCGTGAGGTTTATAGCAAAGAAAATTCAGGAAAAATTAAAAAAAAAACTTCTTTTAATCACCACACGAAATGTTACATAAAGCGAAGCCATCTGGTGGCGAAACGGAGTTCGCCGGGTTTGCTAGTATAAATATAATAATGAACAATATATTTTTTTTATTAAATTATCTTAAGGATTTTACTAAGTAAATAGCAAATTTACTATATACCTAATACTTTTTTGTGTTATTACATCTGCATAGATTAATAGGGTACCTTTTACATAATAATATAGATACCTACTTCTAAAACGAAAAAAATATTTTGTTAAGTTATATTATTGATGGTGAACAATTGTATTTTTTTTTATTACGCAGGATAGGTAGGTAATCAAATCTTGTAAGTCAAATTTCACCCACTTTTCAGTTACCGATTATTTTTTTTAAATGAGATGACAATGCAATATTTAGGTATATAGCTGATCTGATGATGGAGTACTACTTAATCAAAATATATTTGAAACGTTTTGTTTATTTTAATTGATTGTCCTGTTTCAACCCTACCAAAAAAGGAAAATTTCGAATGATTCTTTAATTACTACTCATGTGATAGAACAGGATCAAACACAACAAAGACGGTGACAATGTGCGTAGGTGATTTATTTCATTAAAAGATCTCATCCTGCTTGTATGTAGCATCTAATTATCTCGTAAGTAAATTACCTTTAACTAAAATAATAAAATAGAACTAAAGTAGGCAGTAGAAGATATAACAGTCTGTACGTTTACAAAGATACTTTTAATGAAAACGCAGTTGGTAAATGACATCTAGACGAAAGGACAAGTCGATATCTAGGTATCTCGCTTCGTAAACATGCTTCTAATGTCAAACTGTCATTATCAGTGATAACCAGTCTGTGGTGATAACGATTGCAAACTGATTTAGCCAAGTTTGAATTAGTAATTTTAACAAGAACCACTTGAGTTCATGGTTTCAACTGCCGTGGACCAACGTCCAAGGCCATTTTTCAGTATATACTGAGGTAAAAATCTGTTTGTTTTACTGTTTCATTAATGTAGACGTCAATTCTGTGAGGTGTCCATCCTCTCATTGATTTTTCGATAAACCAGGCTAGTAAATATTGGTTCGGGGTCATCAGGGCGAACTTAATGTTTGGAAGGTTGATTTCTGCCGGTTGTTAGGACGTGTGGACGCTGTACAAATTTATGAGTGAATTTTCTTGTGTGGAAGATAATCTGAAAATATTGTGGTTATAGACAACAAGTGTCTCATTAAATTCACGTCAAAGTTCAAGCATTGAGGTAAGATAAATAAAACTTTATATGAAACTATAGATAATTACCTAACCCAAGTTTAAAATTAGCTATTCAAGTAAGTTCTTTCTAAATCACTTAACTTGTAAAACTATATGATTTTATTGTTTCCTATAAATTTAAGTGTATATCAATCCTTTTTTTGTTAGGTACACTTAATAAACATTAATATTTCAGCATAATTTTACACACTTATTTAATAAATAATGTCCTAAGTACAAAAAGTATTTAAGATCAGTATGTTTCATGCCTCTTGATGGATCTTACATTTTATTTTATTTTTAAATAGCAAATAAAATACTGCTGTTGATTCCAAATAAAAAAGAAAGTAGTTAATATTATGTAACTACTTTATCTAAGCCTATTATAGGGTATTGCCTGTTGCCAGCAGTGTGAAACCTAGGAAAATAAAACAAATCTGTGCTCATCTGGAAATCTTAAAATTTTATTATGATAAAATTTATTGTATGATCAGAGATAACATTGCAGACCAAATGCAATTCACTGCTGAATTGAATAATCTTTAAGTGGCAATTATTGTCACAAAGTGCTAGATCGAGCATAAAAAAGAAAGTAAATATGCCAGTGAACTCCGATTCTGTCTACATTCTTCAGAAAATTTATAGTAATCAAGTGAATTTCTATTTGGGCTTTTTAGCCCAGCTAAGTGATAAGAGTATGTCGTAAGACTTACATTCATAAAATTATATGCTATTGTTGTAGCGGAAGAATAGAATAGAATTAATTAACAAGAAAGATTTTCTCTTTTATTTTCATTAAAAATGAACATTACTTTTTATTGTTATAAAAATCTACTAATCGTTTTTTTTATGTGTCTTACAACATACTTTTTCTTATTTATTCCTACCAAGCATGAGAATCATTAACAAAAAAATTAGATTCCACCGCACCTACAATATTTTATAAGTATATATGAAATTACTTACAATAATTATATATAATATTATATATGAACTTCAAGTTTCAATATTGTTTATCAGGAGTAGGCTATTATGTATAAGCACTTGTGAAAATAGTAAAGGTAGAATGTTTGTTTCAAACGTGTGAAATCTGTGGATATTGATGAACCAACAACGCTCTATTTAATTTCATACAAATATCAATTTGAAAAATGGTCTCAACATAAGTTAAAATCACAACAAAAGGATTATTAAATGCTTAAAAAATGAATGTAGTTCTATAACCTATGGTGTAATAATTTCCTTTATTTTCAAACTATAAAGATAATGCATAAGTCTCAGTTCAGTGCCATAATGGTAATTTTGAGAAAATCCATGCGTTAAAATAAAATGCTTGCGGAGTTCTCTCTCACACAAACATATTAAAAACCTTTAGGTTGTGTGAAAACAGAATGACTAAGTATATAAAAACTATTTTTGTAATACCTTTTCTTACAACATTCTAATTAGTTAGTAGTTCTCTAAAAAATATGCTTTAGTATTTTCATTTGAAAGTAATATGCACCTGATAAATTAAATCTTATCATGTTGAATTACACAAAATGGATTAAATAATTTTTAGTTTTTTTGCATCATGTGACATAAATACATTCCTTTTGAGCTTGGGAGATATTTCAAACAAGTTTGGTATTTACAATATTGACGATGGATCTGCTATTTAATAAGTGTCGTCAATATAAGTATCACACATAGCCATTAACTTTAACATGTTTGAAGTCTTACAAGTTTTAGGAAGACTCAAGCATGTTATATGTGTATTTTGTTTCTACCCCTGTTAACTTAATCCTCTTAGTGGTATTGGTGTGCCAAATAAGAGAAATGCCCATCTTCATTAGCATACTTTATTTTTGTGAAGTATAGATACCTATGTTTTAATATATTTATTTATAAAGAATCTTATTATATAAACACCCCTAGATAAAGGAATCCAAATAAACCACGCAAAAGAAAACAGCCCATGTTACGTGCAATGTGTGCATAACTGTAATGTCAGAGTGCATGAAAGCAGTCAATGTGTGCGTGTGTAGCGACGAGCATATCTTTTTGGTCCGATTCCGTGCAGTTAATATAAATATTTAGGAGTGTAAAATATAAACTCAAAGATAAAGAATATAGTGCTTCAGCAAACCAATTTTTGATATTCCTATAAATTTAGAATGATTCAACTGTGAGTCAAATTCAAATTTACTTTTCTCAAATTGTATGCTTAAATATAAATCTTTTGAACTGTCCAATATAGTCTCTTATCACTTAACAGGATAATGGTGTCGATTCTAGCATGGTTCTCTAAACCTAAACTTAAATTTGACAGCTGTATATCTTTGTCATTCTCTATACAGAATGAAAAGGAGAGACTGATGTTAAATTTAGTTTTAAGTTTAGAGAATCACACCTGAATTGACACCAATGAATACATTATTTCAGCTGTCGAGAAAAATGTGTAAAGTTTTACTTAAGTGAAGAAGAAAAGCCAAACAAAAACAGATAAAAATCTTCTTTATGAAATTAATACCAATAATATTTATAAACTAGCGGCCCGCCCTCGCTTCGCTTCGGTGTAGAGCTGAAGTGTAGACTACAGTTTTTGTTCTCTAGCTTGTATTATACACAATGACATTCATCTATGATTCTTCTTATATAGGTACCTGCATGCAAAGTCTCAGCCCAATCGGTTTAAAATTGACAAAGTTTCATACAAACTTTCATTCCCTATATTATCCTCTTGGGGGTAGAATTCATTAAAATCCTTTCTTAGCGGATGCCTACGTCATAATATCTACCTGCTTGCCAAATTTCAGCCCGATCCGTCCAGTGGTTTGGGCTGTGCGTTGATACACTATGTCAGTTCACCTTTGAGTTTTATATATAGAGCTTTTGCTTTCGTTTTCCAAAAGTAGCATATGTCCTTCCTCAGGGTTCCGTGGTTTTGATGTGACAGACAGATTAACTTTCGTATTTTAGCAGGGAAATATAATATGTCAATCCACAATACTGTTAAAAATATCGCAATAAGGAACCGCAGAATATTATTATTATCACTGTGCCCCGAGACCATCAGCATGTAACTCCTTGTATATTATTATGTTAATGTATTGGTAATATTGTTTAGATCGCTTTCACATGAGGCTTAAGTACATATAGAATGAAAATACTTCAGCGCAAAGCTTCCGGGTAAACAACGTTGAAAGTTGACCCGTCCGGCACGTGAACATAAAAATTTCTAGGACTGCTAACCGGGAAAGAGCGACATAACTGAGATCTACTCCAGCAACACGAAAAGTCTGCCCTTGAGCCTTATTTATTGTCATTGCATAACTTGAGCCTCTATTACATTTTGTTGCAACTGGGTTACTTTAAGCTGAGTTCCATTGCAAATTTCTGGTGGTCTTAAATTTCGGAGCAGAATAATCGGAATGCCAATTTTTTAACAATTTTTTAACATGAGAAGGAAGTCCGAGCATATTTAAAGAATTAAAAAATTGTATCGGGTAGTTAGTGGCTTCTTGTTCATCGGCCATTCTATTTATTGAACTATAAACTTTGCTTTCCCCCTGGATATTCGACAGTATTTAATTATTAATCTCAGATGCTTGGTCATTGCGAGGAGTTTAAATAGACCTTTCGCATAGCCAAGAATTGTCCTTATTTAATATATTTGTTACGTCACCGTAAACTGACGATGTAAGATTAAAAGTACCTTCTACGCTTAATGATTTTTAATTTGAACGAATATTTAAACACTACCAAAACAACTAATACCTATTTTACAAAATAACAACAAAAGAAATTCAAATAAACTATTTAAAGACTAAAAGTCGCGGTGATAAGCATGGTTTCTTAATATTTCTCAATTATTGTCTGTCAATAAGGTCGAACGCTCTGAACGCATCAACAGCCAAATATTGAAGTCGAGCGCGGCAACCATTACACAAAAATAATCCTTATAGCATGATTCAGTATTCACGTGCGACGGCGCGATGGCTTATTTCATGTATAAGTTTGGTGTTTCTATACCGATTTCTATGTTTTTTTTTTATTCAATAGGTAATAATGTTAACTTTTTTAAATTAGGGATGAGTCAGAGTATTATAAACGTAAGAGTAAACAAATATGATCAGAATGCTCCGAACTGCTAAGCTATCGGGAGTTACACGTGTTATTGTGAGTCAACCATAAAAGATAGACATATGCTGTTGCGGGATATTTTTTAGACAATTTTATGTAGAATATTTCCGTCATACATGATTTCTATGTTACTTTAATGATTAAGGCTGCACACGCGACGGAAGCTTAAAAAATGGAGTAACTTCTCCCGTTTTCCCAACATTTCCCTTTACTATTCTGCTCCTATTGATTGCAGCGTAATGAAAAGTATACTATAACCTGCCCAGGAGTATGAGGAATAATTGTACCAAGTTTCGTTAAAATCCGTCGAGTAGTTTTTGTTTCTATAAGGAACATACACACAGACAGACAGACAGACAGACAGACAAAAAATTTACTGATTGCATTTTTGGCATCAGTATCGATCACTTATCACCCCCTGATAGTTTTTTTAAAAATATATTTAATGTACAGAATTGACATCTCTACAGATTTATTATAAGTATAGATATATTAGAATAACATTATTTTTAAACATTTTCGTCATAAGTTTGATGTCCATTACAGTCATTAAAATTACTTTCATATAATGATACAGACAATGAATCTTCTATTTTGTGAGGTCTAAACAATATTAAACTTATTTTTTTCCTAAAACAGATACTAAATCACAACAATGACGAGTAGCTCCTGGGAGGAGTTCTTCGCGGTGCACCTGCCCCCTACAGACTTCGAGGACAACCGCTCCTTGCTGAAGGAGTTCTGTGAACGCCATGACCAGTACGGGAATAAGATCGTTCTTGTCACTGTAAGTTTAGAAAAGTAATGAAATGAAGTAATTCTAAGTATGCGGCCGTTCAAGTATTACGTAAGCAGATTTATTACAATTATTTACCCCCTCCTCCCCCTCGTCAGCAAAAGTAAGCAAAGTTTATTGATTCATGAGCTTTTATGAGCTTCATGAGCAGCAGTACTTAAAAAGGCTTAATCGATGATGCTGACGTTATCACCATCTCTACCCCCCACCCCCCCATGTCATCAAAAATAAGCAAAGCAAAGACCCCCCTGCCCCCCTATAGTGCTTACGTAATACTTGAACAGCCCCTATAAGATGAATAGGGAGAATAAGGCCGTATACAGAAAGAAAGCCGAAAGCCGATCAGCGCCGATTAGCGCCGACGAATGCCGACACGCGCTGGTCAGCTAGTCATTATGATCTATGTTGTCCGAATAATAAATAATTTGTATTTGAATTTTTATCTTTAGATTAAATCAATCTAAGTTATAATCTTTTTATAAATCTAATAACATTATCTTTTATTAACTAACCGCTAAAATTATTTGTTTCGTACTTACCGAATGGTAACAACAAGTCTTTCTTCTGGAAGGATTGGTTGTTTATGCCAATTGCACCAATTATTCATCAAACGGTTTTTCACTAAATCCAAAATGTAATAAAATGTTTCTTGAGTCATTCTTGTATATGTATAAAATCTTTGATCATCAAATTACAATTTATTACAAATAACTGATGGTATTTTTTCCGAAACGTTTCCTTTCTCTATTTATAGGATGTATAGTTTTTTTCGCATTTTTAAATACACATTTTCCAACAAAACCAAATCATCGTCCGATGAGTCCGACATTTTGCTTGCTCTGCTTTAATCGGCTTCCTTTATGTAGTAAGGATCGGCGCCGATAAGCGCTGATCGGCTTTCGGCTTTCTTTCTGTATACGGCCTAAGGCTGCACTAAAAGGAGCATTAAAGTTTCGCGTGTAATCGCATTATTGAACTCTATTTACTAGGTCACTAAGATCAGCGTCTGTTTTGCCTCCTTTATCTTATATGCCGCGGAAACGTTTCTCTAACAAATAAGGCGTCTTACAGGCAGGTGACGTCACACGGCTCTCATTACAACGTCAAACAGTTCAAAGTAATTTCACTTCCACAGCATGTTTACAAGCAGGTCATGTTAGGATGTTAGGCTCCCCCAAACCTAGGCGTTTTCGGTCCCGCTCATGTGACAATAAATAATAGTTATTTATTATACAAGAGTGGAAAGTTCCTTTTTAACCGCGTGCTCGATTTGGATGACCGAGCAAGCGAAGGATTCTAAAGTTGAATCACGAGCGCAGCGAGTGATTCTAAATTAGAATCCTGAGCGTCAGCGAGGGAAACAAACGAGCACAAGGTGAAAAATCTTTCCACTCGAGTGCAATACGTAACTTTTCATCCCACCTCAGCGAGGAAATGACAAAATGAAAAAGAAAACAATTTATAATGACAAAATATTTAAGCAATAAAACGTGAAAAACTAGAATGGCGCGAAGCACGCAAATAAAACAAAGAAACCAAGAAGGTTCCAAATTTAAATTTTTTCACAATTTAAAAAGTTCTAATCATAAATTTGGCACCATAGAGGTTACATTAAATAGGTTTAATGACGTTTTGAATTTACAATTATATTGAGTACTCATTATATGTGATGTTCTAAATTCAAATCTACTTTGCCGCTCAAGCGAATAAAATAGAATTTTCCAGCCAGATTTCGAAGCGCAAAATTACACTTTCCGAGGTGGTGGGATGAAAAAATACTTTTCTACTTCATGAGTTTTAAGTTATATTATCAACTACTTCTTTTGTCAGAATAGTGAAACGCTCCCAATATTCGTGTCAAATATACATGCCAATAATTGTTACTTTATTTTTCATAATGTCTATTATATATTATAGTCTATTACTGTAGTAAGTAGACTACGACGCGACACGATGAATTCCACGATGCATCGTTTTATGAATACAGCCCCTGATTTTCTCCGATTTGTCTATTACTATAGTACAGGCAGAATAATCAGGATTCGATACAATAGTTGTAGTTATTTATAAAAGTAGCGGGATTGCTACCCAAATTTCGGTCGATAACATAGTTTCCGATATTTGAACACTGTTGCAAGTGGAGTTACTCCGTTACGTCGTTTACTCCGTGCTCATGGCATGGCATGATTTCAGAACCATAAAAATGTTCCAGAAACAATAGTTAGTATCCTGCTGATCAAAGTCACACCTTTTGTCTTAAAATGCGCAAAAAAGGCGCAAATAATACAAAAATCGATACCGAGTTCATTACCAATATTAAAAGCCAAATAACGCTCACTGAGATTAAGAATGTCTTGTAAATAATTTTTATAGCTAAAGACAAATAACTCTACCCCACCCGATGTTGAGTAGTGGTAAAGTTCAGATGCGAAGGTAGCTGATGCAGCAGTTATAAACTGCCACACCAACCATCCTCGCCTTGCCGGCCTGCAGTAATGTTTCTTCACGCCGCTCTTAAAAGACCCCAGATGTAGGAAGGAGGGATCATATGCGCATGCAAAGAATTTCACTTGCGAATAGTACGCCATGTTTTCGCTTGTCCATAGTCAGGTGGCACTACAGTACCCTTGGAGCACAACACAGTGCGGTTCGTGGACAACTTCAGTGCGGGCACTCGGGGCTCCGCGTCCGCTGAGTATTTCTTGGAACAGGGGTACGCGGTCATCTTCATGCACCGCCAGAAGTCGCTGGAGCCCTTCACGAGGCACTTTAGCGGACAGAAACTGCTCGACATGCTGGATATACAGGAGAGAGGGCCTAACACCACCATCACAGGTATGCAGGCGAAGCTTTGAATCCACCAGCATCTTACCCAATTTACGTGATTCGCGAAGTTACTACATACACAGGAGGAAAGGAGCTGCCGTATTTAATGTAGGTGGCAAAGTTTCTACGAATGTTGCACCGACGTCACTTGTCAATAATTCTAGGCGCTCAGCACCACAGAACACAGAAAGAGGTTTAGAAGGGCCTTGTGGGCGCGGCAGGCGCGCCACAGTTATGTGTGAGCAAATGCTCATAACTTGATCAAAACTTGGTTCTGATTGCGTCGTTGCTCTCGGGTGTGAGCGCTGATTGGTTCGATTGTTTGATGTCGCGGCGTTTGATTCGCTATTATCTATTAGGTGGAAGTGTAGTGGGGGCCGGCCGAGCCGGCGCCATCGGTTTTCGTACAAACGGTATAATGATCACCCTTCTTACCTCTTTCTGTGTTCTGTGCTTAGCACCGAGGGCACTTTTTGTGAAAGCCTACTTACTTACGTACGTTGACACTACTGCTATCTAATTAAGAATAGCAGAACTTATTAGTACACATCAGTTGCGCATTTAAACAGGTTTAAGGGATCCAGCGACTTCTGGCGGTGCATGAAGATCACCGAGTAGTTCCTGAAGCAGGGCTACGCGGTCATCTCATTGGAATGAGCCTGTAAGGATAGTTCTCAGGGTAGCATTATCTTCATGCACGGCCAGAAGTCGCTGGAGCCCTTCACGAGGCACTTCAGCTGACAGAAGCTGCTCGAAAGGCTCGGTACAGGAGAGGGCGCCTAACACAAACGTCCCAGATTAAGCGAAGCACTGTATACCTTTTTATTTCTACCCAAAAAAATGTAACGCTTACTCCGTCGCTAGATATGGAAATGGGGGTTATGTTGTATAACTCCCCTCCTCCCACAATTTACCCCCTGATCGAGCCCGTAGGACTGGCTCAATTGTTGCCCAGAGTACCTCTACTCACTAAAAACTCTGCAATGTGTTCCTTATTAGGAAACGACCACACTGGTACCGGCAAGCCTTAGTACCTACATCTTTTCTTACAGCAGTAGCTCGTTCAAATTGCGTGATTCCGAAGTATACTAAAGCCACCAAAAATGTGCTTATATTTACTACGCTTACAGAAAAGCAATTTGTTTAGCAGTTGGCACAGAAAAGACCTTATATTGTTTTAAACTTTCATGGTCACTAACATTATAGATATTAACGGAATTGTTACCATGTAACACTAGTTACTCCGTGATCATGGCGCTTGCAACAGTGCCGAAATATCGGAGACTCATAAAAAACAAGGTACGGTAGGTAACAATCCCGTTAATATTTATAAAGAAAAGACCTTTTCCTACAATGGAAAAAAATGTACAGCGATCATTCAATATCTATTGTATTCGACTATTGACTTAAACCTTTCGACATAAAGTTCAATACCTATTAATATTTTAGCCTTTTGTTATTACCAACAGCACATTAGTTCTGACGCGTGAAGTGTTTTTTTTTTGACTTGATTATGAAAAAGTATTGGACACGTATTTTTTCTTTTTTCACATAATATAAACATTGCAGAGATATATTGATTTGAAAAGTCGCATGACGTCACGTTTGAGTACACTTATAAGGGAAAATTCACTCAAAAGTGACGTCACGAGCCCCTACTCCCAAACTTTGACGCGCTATAACTTTGTCATTTTTTGGTTGATTGCCCAAAGACGTGTCCATTATTTTTTGATCATCTAGCTGACGGACTAAATAGAATTTCGTTTAGTGTACCCCGTCATCACCCCTATTATGGTCTTCAGCTACACATTTAGGCATACTTGCAATAACGTTTTAAATCAAATTGCTATGATAGTCGTTGCCACGAATGAAACCACATGAAAATCTGACTGCGATTGTAAGGCTCTTTATTAGTAACCCGAGCTTTTATACGGGGAAGAGATGAGTATCTCGAAAATACCCACACTATATTTAAAAACTATTATCTTTTTTTTATGGATAGGTCTGACAAATGAATCCACCCCACCTGATGTTAAGTGATGGTGAAGTCCAGATGTGAAGATAGCTGGTAAAGCAGTTCTACCTGCCACACCAGCCATCCTCACCCTGCCGGCCTGCATGTTGCTTCTTCACGCCTCTTTTAAAGGATCCCAGGTTGTAAGAGGGAGGGATCACGTGAGTGGGCAGAGCATTCCATTTACGGATAGTGCAACAAAGAAATGAGTCACCAAATTTCTTTGTACGCGTTGGAATTGTAGCCACAGTTAGACGGTGACAAAGTAAGCCAGCTCGCGTGGTCCTCTGAAAGAAAGGGGAAGGTGGAATAAGAGAGAATAACTCCTCAGAACACTCGCCGTGGTACAGACGATAGAACGTGCTTAGTGACGCCACGTTACGGCGTAATTGAAGAGGCTCAAAGTGTATAGTCACCTCCTCATCGCCTATGATGCGGATTGCGCGGATTTTATTAGCAAATGAAAAAGATGGAAGGATTTTGTAAACAGGAATAAGTCTTAATTTTAATTAAGAATGTTAGTGCTAGTGCACAGTGGCGTAGCATAGGTCACTAGCACCCGGTGCGGATTCCAAATTTGCCGCCCTCTTATTTTTGCAATCCATTATAAAAAAATTGAGGCATGGTAAAAAGAGTACTCTTATTGAATAACACTAACCTAAGAGTGAAATTAACATTTTTTGACATAGAGTAGGAGGTAGACTATCACAATATCACTTAGAAAAATTACAGAGAAAACGTAATACAATAATGGAGAAATCGCCTACTTCACGAACGCTCTTTCGCGCACGAGTATCATTACTGATTACAACCTCAACTCCTCAACTGAAAGATTTAAATTTAACTTTTCTAGTCTTCCTTTCAGCAAAGTTTTTGATCACAGTTTCAATATCGATTGCATCAGTCAGGTCTTGTTCAATCGACAATATAGCTAGATTAGTTAATCTCAGCGTACTCATTGTAGATCGCAAGTAATTCTTTATCAATTTCAGTTTCGAAAAGCTCTTTTCACAACTAGCATTACTTATAGCAGTTGTCAAAAATATTCTGAGCATTATGAAAATGTTAGGCACGGAGATTTCGAGCTTAGATTCGACAATGAACTTCAATAATTCAAGTGGACCTACATTAGCTTTGCCTAATCTATCAAGATCTCCAGTAGCAATGGCAAAACTTCGAAGTCGCCCTCGCTCAAGTTCAAACTCCTCCTTGTCAATGTCGGTAGCATGGTCAAGGTTACATTTTCCAGTAACATCCAGTAGTTTTGCTGGTGTAAGAAAGGAAAATTTCTCTGCCAAATTATCGAGCTGCTGAAATCTCGATCGAATCTCAGAAATGACTCTATCCAAAGAGGAAAACAGTGTTCTTCTCAACTCATTTTCGTAGGTCAAACCAGCATCTGTACTTCCGTCACCGAATGTTTGTTTCTTCAATCTACGTCGACGAGGTTCCATGGATGATGGCATCTGCCCTGGTGTTTGTGAGAATTTCTTTGTAATGTTTATGCATCATGATTACTGCATCACCTCTCGCGCTCCATCGGGTATCTTGAATCCTTTTCAAGCTTTTACCGGTAGCAGCGAGCAGAACTTCCCAGCGGTGAGTTGACATGGAAAAAAATGTATAACAGCGTTCTAACGTGCCAAAAAACGTTACCGATTTTGCTTCAACTGAGGCAGCGTGTAGACAAACGAGATTCAATGAATGGTTCGAACAAGGTTCGAATTCAGCTTTTGTATTTATATCCTTGATCCTTTCTTGCACTCCAGTATGCTTACCGGCCATGACAGCAGCATTATCGTACGCTTGACCTCGGCAATCCATTATGTCCAAGCCATCACTGTTGAGTTTCTTCAAAATCATTTCTGCAATATCTCTAGCAGTCTTGCTTTTCGTTTCAATGAAATCTATAAATGATTCCACTACTCGCACTTCCTGATTTTCAATAACTACGTAGCGTAAAACTTGGCTAGTTTGGTCCCTGTGAGAAATGTCAGGAGTGCTGTCAAATATCATAGAATAATACTCGGCTTTTTTAATTTGACGATAAATTTGCTGACGGACGTGATCGCCTAAAATTACGATGAATTCGTTTTGGGTTTCCGATGACATATATGTAACTGAAATTTTCTGTCCCATATTGATGCTCACAAGGTGTTCCCGTAAAACAGGATCGTACTTTGCAAGAAGATGAACAAGTTCTAAAAAATTTCCTCTGTTTCCGCTTGTATCATCTTCTCTATGGACACGCAGAGCTAAATTTTGTTTAGCGAGGAACCTTATAATGTCGACCATTCTAGTGAGAGTCTCTCGCCAACGTTTAGTTTCTCTTTCGACTACTTCTTTGGCTTCCTTATCAATAGTCAGTCCTTTCTGGATTCTCAGTTCTAGCTCCTTCCATTGGCTTAAATTTTGGCAATGTACAACACTCGAATCATGATTGCCTACTTTAGGGTTCAATTTCCACCAAGAATTAAATCCATATGCTGAGGAGAACTGTGAATCATTTCCATTGTGCGGAAATAAGCGACAACAGATACAAAACAGTGATGCTTTAGAAGGGGAGTAGGCCATCCAGCTACGTAAAACCTTCTCTCCGTTGGTCAACTTGCGATAAAACCACTCTCGTGTTAGTCTCCTTGTCTCTCCCTTAGCCATAGCATCAGAACGCGTTACTTCAGAAAAATCAGAATCCATGTGTTGAACGACTTCAGAGCCTTGCCGTACTAAGAGCAATCGCACGTCGCTACTCATTTCATGCGGCCATTTTCCGATGTCAGTCAAATCAGGCGTACTCACGTCAAGATGCGCAGATGCACCATCACAACAAGAAATTGTAGACGCTGCTGGAATCGCGTCTTCTTCTTTTTCAACATCTGGTAGGTACCTGGGTATTTGGTAACAACAACAAAAAAATGACGAAAAAAAAACTGAAAGAAATTAACTTTTTTTTATATTTTAATTTTTTTTTCTCTATCTGCCACCTCCGCAGCGCCGCCCCCGGCAAAGTGCCGCCCGGTGCGGACCGCCCCCCCCCCCCCCATGCTACGCCACTGCTAGTGCACTTTAATTTATCATCTTAATTGCCCTCAGTGAAACCAGACAGCGTAGATGTGTTAGCGCCAGTCCTGCTGCGATACAAAGCAGCCCACGCTGCCGGCGCCATCTTGTACGTTTCCTTCACCACAGTATCGGAGTACTTCTGGTTACTGCGCGCCGCGTGCGAATGCCTAGCTAACCTGGGACCACGGGCGGTGTTATACCTCGCCGCTGCGGTGTCAGACTTTTATATACCGAAGGATAAAGTGGTGAGTGTAAAAATTGTTTTTGAAGTTATACTCCTTTAGGTGCGTTATAAAAAAATATGAGAGTGAAATTTTAAGATGCGCGCGCATCTCTGTAACACAAAAGTAACACACAAGGAGGAGACAAGTGTCAAAAACTACAAATGAAATGGAAGAGATTTTTGTTCGTCGAAGTTTTAGCAAATTTTATTTAACATGGTTTTGTGAAAATTACAAACTTGATTTTTGATTTTAATAAGGTGAATGTACAAGGCCGACCCAGGACGATACTACCCATGGTCATTCTCCTGTGCTAAATCTCGATTCAACTAAAACCAAATGTAATCCATAGAAAAATGACAAATCAATTTGTTATCATTGTTTGGGATGAATTTTGTTTTAATTAAATTGAGATATAGCAAAAATCATGTAAGTGGGCCTAGATTTTTTTTTACTCTACTGCGGACGGTCATTTTTTTGTACCGTATGTATGTCTATGTCTTTAGCACAAAATCTAAATGGCAGATTTATGGCGAAATAATCTTAAAAAGAAAAAATATCGTAAATAGTAAATGGATAAATAAAAAAGGTTAGATACTCTAGAATGCTTATGTTTTTTTAAGCATATAACTGCTAGATGTTTAAATCCAAAGAAAAGTTTCGCTAGAAAAAAATCCACGCGGACCAGGCAGCGGACGGGACTTGCTTTTCTTTACTCTAGAATGTTAGAATTTTTGAAATACTAATCCTGTTCTTATTATTCTTTTCCCTTTTTATTTAAACTTTAATTTTTAAACAGACAAGTTTTTTTTTCTCAATCTCATACAAGTATTTAATCGAGATTTTGCTAATTTTCTGCAAACGGACCTTCATCATCATCAGCCTATTAATGTCCCCACTGCTGAAACACAGACCCTCCCTATGGATGGAATAGGCAGATTAGGCTATGACTCACCAAACGGGCCCAGTGCGGATTGGCGGGTGCTAGCGACTGCAGATGCAGCCAGGACCAACGGCTTAATGTGCCTTCCGAAGCGCGAAGGAACTTGAGATAGAAGATTTTTGGTCACCCATCCAATGACCGGCCACTGCGAAAGTTGCTTAACTTCAACGATCGCAGCCGAACGCGCTGCGCCATCGAGCTCCTCAGATCCAAACGGACGTTACCTTAAAGAATAATGTATTTTTCCTCAGCCAACCCACAAAATGCAGTCGGGCAGTGGTGCACCGGTGATCCAACTACACTTAGTGCCCAAGATGCTGGCTCCCCTCGTCAACCTGTGGGTCCCGGAGGCTTATGTGGTGTCCTTCAAACTGGAGACGGACGAGAATTTACTTATACCAAAAGCAAGAGCGGCTTTAGACAAGTACAAACATAAGGTAATATACCATATATATAGGGTTAATTTTAAAACACCAACATACCTCTTAGGGGGTGATTCTACCCAGCAACAGGAACAACTTTTATTATGGTCCCATAGTAAATGGGATGTGTGATCGTAGACCGTTTGTACGGGAAACGATGTCGCTGGCTTTCCCCCACTACACTTCCACCTAATAGATAATAGCCAATCAAACGACGCGACATCAAACAATCGAACCAACCAGCGCTCACGCTCAAGAGCAACGACGTAATCAGAACCAAGTTCTGGTCAAGTTATGAGCATTTGCTCAAACTTAACTGTGGCGCGTCTGCTCCGTCCACAAGGCCCTTCTAACCTCTTTCAGTGTTATGTGGTGTTTACTGACTTTTTGTTTATTTTTGGCATTTTTGGGGGCTTCTAGTTTCTTTGAAACTCAAGTTATCGAATAAAAGGAAGACATAGGAGCAAATATAAAAAAATATATTTTATGTATGAAAATATTGAAGTTATACTTCTTTAGGCGCGTTATGAAAAAATGATGAGAGTGAAATTTTTAGATGCGCGCGCATCACTGTAACACAATAGTAACACCATGAAGTTGGCCGCGGGCGCGTTATGAATGTTAGTGTCTAATAATAACCACTTAGTGGTTAATAATCCACCATTATTAGACATCTGTTCGAAAGGTACTTTGAACGATCCACGGAGCTCCATAAGATGATCGCGTTGTCAAAAACAATGTTGGCACGCTCGTCGCCTCTGATCACTGTTTTCATATTTATAATATTTATCCACATGTTTCTAGTTTCTATATAGACACAACGTGTTTTAGTTACTTACAAGTGCTAATTACATATGGACTAATAACTTAAATTCAGTAGTGATTTTAATTGAATATTTATTTAATTTTTCAAATTAAAACTGAACTTAATTGACTGTGTTAACTATCCTTTTCCAGTCCTTTTATTATTTTATTGTAATTATTAATTATTTGCATGCAATTAAAAAATATTTTTAATGATGCTAAAGAAGTATAACTTCTCACGCGCGTACATAGTTACACGCATCCATTTTATTTTTATCTTTTTACTGATAAAAATCAAGGAGGAATTAGTCGAGAACGTTTGTATGGAAAAAGCATTGCCCGCCTCCCCTCTTAATGATTTTTTAGAATAATTGATTATTTTTTGTTCACTCAGAATAGTAAAGTATTTTTTTTATATCCATATTAAATACAGATGTCAAGAATTGGTACTTTCAAAATTCAATATCGTTTATTCAGTCTAGGCTGTTACAAGCACTTGTGAGTGTCGAAAAGCTACGCCATCGGTTCGCAAATCTACGGCGGGAGACCTTGTACTGAGAAGAACCGGCAAGAAACTCAGCAAGGGCTGTTTTTTTTCTCCCTGTATTATATACAGAGTCGTCAATTTGAAAAATGACTTCAATATGAGATAACTCACGAAGTCACTTTCCATTACAAATGTAAATGATAAAACAATTATGACTATAAAATAAAGAATATAAAAAAACAGATTTAAAAAAAAAGTTTAGGAATGCCGTGTCCCACTGTTTAGGCATAAAAATACTTTATTTTACATACTGTCAAATAGCCTATTAGAATCACATCACATCACCAGCCTAGTAATGTCCCCACTGCTGGGGCACAGGCCTTCCTAAGGAATGAAATAGGGAGATTGGGTCATGACCTACCACGCGTGCCCAGTGCAGATTGGTAGGTGCTAACGACAGCAGATGCAGCCGGGACCAACGGCTTAACGTACCTTCCGAAGCACGGAGGAGCTCGAGATAGAAAATTTTTGGAACGCGCTAACCACTTGCGCTAACTAATTTCACTATTAGAATGTTTAATAATAATTGTAGATGGTGGTAGCGAATTTGTTGCAAACGCGGCACCACAGAGTGATCCTGGTCTCGCCCGAGGCTAGTCAGGAGATTGTGCTTACCAGAGAAGAAGTCCACGCAGGTAAGGAACTAACTAACAGAACTAGTCTAGTGAGACTAAATGACGAAACGAAATTAACTTTTAATGACATTAAAATTTAGAAAAAGTTAACGCAGGTAAGGAACTAACTATCGGAACTAGTCTAGTGAGACTTAATGACGAAACGAAATTAACTTTTAATGACATTAAAATTTAGAAAAAAGTTCACGCAGGTAAGTAACTAACTAACGGAACTAGTCTAGTGAGACTAAATGACGAAACGAAATTAACTTTTAATGACATTAAAATTTAGAAAAAGTTAACGCAGGTAAGGAACTAACTAACGGAACTAGTCTAAGTGAGACTTAATGACGAAACGAAATTAACTTTTAATGACATTAAAATTTAGGAAAAGTTCACGCAGGTAAGGAACTAACTAACAGAACTAGTCTAGTGAGACTTAATGACGAAACGAAATTAACTTTTAATTACATTAAAATTTAGGGGAAGTTTACACAGGTAAGGAATTAACTAACAGAACTAGTCTAGTGAGACTTAATGAGGAAACGAAATTAACTTTTAATGACATTAAAATTTAGAAAAAGTTCACACAGGTAAGGAACTAACTAACGGAACTAATCTAGTGAGACTAAATGACGAAACGAAATTTACTTTAATGACATTAAAATTTACACTGTCACTTTCTTTGCCATAACGATAGAATGAGACATTTGACATAATGCAACATTACTTAATTAAAGTTTCCTTGTGCAGCCGTTACTAAACTTGATTTAATAACTGTCTATTTAGTAGGAAGAGTACCGAGTTGGGCTAGTTTTACTATGGGATATCGTTGCCATCAATCTATAAGTTACAACAGTTTTATAATGCCACCATTTTTTTTTTCAAAACGCGATTTTGGGATTGTTATATAAAATTAAAATATATGTTAATTTCAGCTCCATTCCAAATATCAAGTACTTCTTCAGTCTCATTTTGTTCTCCTGTTTGTTGATACTCATTTTCGGAATTAAATAACTCTACCATTTTTCTAACTCTCGAGATAATTATGATCTGTTGTTTTTGTGAGCATTCTCTTTGATTAACTAGTTACACTATTTTTGAATGTCTCTGGTTTTTTTTGAAGTTATACTTCTTTAGGCGCGTTATGAAAAAATGATGAGAGTGAAATTTTAAGATGCGCGCGCATCACTGTAACACAAAAATTAACAGCATGAAGTCGCTAGAGTGACCAACTTCATGCTGTTACTTTTGTGTTTACCGCGCATTAAGAAAATCTACCAACAAAATAGAAATAGAATCTCTATTTAGTGGGTGCTAACGACTGCATTGTGAAGGCCTATCAAAAGTATTTATTAATCTGGAACAACGGAACCAAAGCGCGATTCAGGAGACTACAGCGCCATCTCTTAACCATTGGTGTAGTAGAACCAAAAACCACATCTTTACTTTTTGTATTAAAGCAACAGTTATAGGTATTCATATTTATAATATCAAAAGTATTTATTAATCTGGAACAACGGAACCAAAGCGCGATTCAGGAGACTACAGCGCCATCTCTTGACCATTGGTGTAGTAGAACCAAAAACCACATCTTTATTTTTTGTAATAAAGTAACAGTTATAGGTATTCATATTTATAATATTTATCCACATGTTTCTAGTTTGTATATTCGGAATACGTGTTTGAGTTTCATACAAGTGCAAATCACATATGTTCTAATAAATTATATTCATTAGCGATTTTAATTGAATATTTTGATTATTTATTTATTTTTTCAAATTAAAACTGAACTTTATTGACTGTGTCCTTTTCCAGACTTTTTATTAATTTATTGTAATTAATTATTTGCATGCTATTAAAAACTAATTTTAAACGATGCCAAAGAAGGATAACTTCTCATGCGCCTACATAAGTACACGCACCCATTTTTTATAATAATAATGTTTATTCATCAAACCTTACAAGTACTACAACAATAACATATCTGAAAATAATCTAGGAATTGTTTCCTATCTTATAATGTTATAAGTAGGATCCCTGACTTTCATGCTAGGTGAGACCTGTGTTATGAAAGGCAGTGGTTCTATTCGAGACACCGGATGATTACAAAACGTTATTAATGTGTGTGTGTTTCTGTGTGTATGTTTATTTGTGTGTATATTGTGTGTGTTCTTTTCATCTATATTTCAAAGTAGTATATGTTCTGTTTCAGTGCGCGTTAGTATTCACTCTTTTACCTTGGTCTTAAACTCATACTTATTTATGTTAAGAATTTGGTTAATTTTGTTATACATTCTAGTATGTGTCGATAAACTTTGTCTTTTAGCAAAACTAGTTGTACAGTGGATGCGAGGGCAAACAGGTTTTGGTCGTCTTCTGATTGTTGTGTTATCATTACGCCTGGTCTTAAAGTAGACCTTAGAATGTACATTTGTCTAGCTGTCGGAACCTGGGCTATATCTATACGGCTTTCTAGAAATTACCTTTAAGACAGCTCTTTGTGTCCTCTCAAAGTTAATAAACATTGTTTTAGAAGCAGCCCCACAGACAGAGATACAGTAAGACAACAAAGATTCACACAGTGCAGAGTATACTATCTTAAGTGTATCAATATCGATTCGAGGATTCTTGCATATTAGCTGGGATATTAATTAATGAAAAGGACGTTTGACGTTCATTGTCTCATATATTTTCCCCAAAAAGTCCCTTTAAAATTTTTTTCCCCACCAGTTTCTGCAAATTTACTATTTCCCCTATTTTTCCCCAAGAGTCAATTTTTCCCCCAGAATTGGGGAAAAATAACCCAATCTGGTAACGCTTCAGAAGTGCGTTCTCACTAAAAACCTATGTACGAGTGAATCTATTTATCTACACAAACTCATAGAATAATTACTGCGTTTATCATCCACGTTTATGAGGAGCTCGATGGCGCAAGTGGTTAGCGCGTTCGACTGCGATCGTTGAAATTAAGCAACATTCGCAGTGGTCGGTCATTGGATGGGTGACCAAAAATTTACTATCTCGAGCTCCTCCGTGCTTCGGAAGGCACGTTAAGCCGTTGGTCCCGGCTGCATCTGCAGTCGATAGCACCCACCAATTCGCACTGGGCCCGCGTGGTGGGTCATGGCCCAATCTCCCTATTCCATCCATAGGGAAGGCCTGTGCCCCAGCAGTGGGGACATTAATAAACTGATAATGATGATGATTTTCATCCACTAGTTGGACATTAAGCGAACATAAGACCAAATAGCTGCCGCATCATCCGTGCCCCTGACCGGAGTTAATTTTACGAGCTGTCATTTTTATATTGGGCGTGAAGATTTTACGACTTACATGGCTGTTAGGATAGCACATAAAAGTAACTATAAACGGTCCCTGAAACTACCTTCACTTTGCTGGCTGAAAATCTATTCTATCTGCTATAAGTGTGATGTAGAAAACCTACATTGTAAATTATGTCGCAGGCGGATTACAGATTTCGTCGTATTGGATTCAGTGGTATCGTATTCAGTCGATATGATATATATATATATATATATATATATCGTTTTTATCCCGTTCAAATTGCTATAGTGTTTGACAGTTACACGCGATAAAATCGTGATATAATGTATATTGTGGTGCATATGCTACAGGGTAGTGATGTAACGAATATTTGCATATTTTTGCATATTCGTATTTACATTCGCATTCGCAAATTCTCTGCAATGTTTTGCGCATATGAATATTAGAAAAGATAATAGTTTGTTTATAAAATCAGAATCCATTCATTTCTTATGTTTTTAATGCAAGAAAAATTAACTTAACCTCGTAATCACATTATTAGTGTTGACTTTAGCATTTGGCATTATTTATTTATTTTCTTTACTTTGGGCAATGAAGTTTGAAAATAAAATTTCACTTAAAAAACAAAATATATAATGCATGTGAACAAACAAAAACAAACTGTTGTAAGAAATTGTTATCACTTTTTACTTATTTTTTAATGATAATATATTAATCATCGTCTTTGACAAAACTTTAAAAAAATCGGAAAACTCGGTTTTATGGATTGCCTTCAAATGATTTCTCATAGCAGTTGTAGTGCTTGTGTTCCTTGAATATTTATTGTTACACAGCTTGCATTTAGCTCGTTCAGTACCGCAAAGTGTGAAATAAGTCCATATTTCACTAGAATTTGATTTACTCATGTTAATAAATCACTATTCAAACTTTAACCTCAAAATTCACTGGTTTTGTTCACGAAAAGACCGGCGCGAGCGGAATGACATTTCAGTCGGATGAGTTCATATCAACTCGGCAATTCTAACGACACTACCACCATGCCATAGACAATTGGCGCCAATTTTGAACAAAAACTAATTATAATTTTTATTTTTTAAGCATGTAACTGCTTGATGTTTAAATCTAAAGAAAATATAACTAGAAAAAAATATTCGACTAATTATTCGCATTCGCGAATGTCGGTACCAAATATTCACATCCGCATTTGCATTCGCGAATGTTCAAAAAATTACATTCGTTACATCACTACAACAGGGATAGATACATTAAAACGGAGTTGTTTTGTATAATGATAGAGTCGATACGCTGGACTGCATTGCGAAAAAATCGAAGCCGCTTTTAAATGCTTAAAATATATATACAGGGCGTCCCACGGTTACCTCACACGGAGGGAAAGTATATTCAATATTGAAGATAAGATATTTTACTGAAAGAAGATATCATTTTATTTTTATCTGGAATCTAACATTACTCCTAAGAAAGTTGTACTTTCCACAGGTTTCAATTTATATGTATATTAGTTTCTATACTTCTGACATTTGGTGTAGAAAACTTAACTATCTTGGTTTTTTCTTATTAAGCAACAAGTTGTTAATATTAAACCAATAAACTACTTTTGCAAGTGCATTGTTCACTTCGTCAAAATTATATAATTGTCTATTTATTTTGAAAATCAAAGAAGTGTCATCCGCAAACAACACAATATCATGATTGTCTTTTATGTAGTAAGGCAAGTCATTTATGTATACTAGAAAGAGAAATGGACCGAGAATCAAACCCTGCGGAACACCTATTGTGGCTAGAGATCTTGGAGATCTTTTACCATTTATGTCAACCTTCTGTATTATATTGGACATGTATGAAGTCATAAGGTCGAGAGCCTTGTTCCTAATGCCGTAATGGTGTAATTTCCTGACTAGATGTCATGGTTAACACAATCAAAAGCTTTAGATAGATCACAGAAAATACCAAGAGCGTCTCGTGATTCTTCCCAAGCAGCAAAACTTCGTTGAACAATTCAACTCCCGCATCAATGGTGGAGCGACCCCGAGTAAATCCAAATTATTTCTTATAAAATAAGTTATGTGTATTGAAATGCTTCAAGAGTTGATTTAGCATTAGTCTCTCAAAGATCTTACTTAAAGTTGGTAGAATAGAGACCGGTCGAAAAGGTTCACCAGATTCAAATAACGGTATAATTTTAACGGTATTTTTTTCCACAGTCACTGCTCACATTCTTTATAATAATTGTTACTCGTTAATATTTTTAGAAAACATTTGCACTCTTTATTTATAAGGCACTTTTCACTTTAAACCTAGTTTAGTAGCTTAAAACAACAATTAACTATATTTTTTGAATAGTATTACGGAGCTCACTGTTTACATGACGGCAGCGCCATCTGTCTCCTCCATCATTAAATATGTTGTTTTTTTTTCGAAATTTCACGAGTTTGATTCACAGTTGTAGCAGGTGATTTAAAAAAAAACTGTGAATGCAGTTCTATTTATTATTAAAAATAAAATGATGTCTTTTTTCAGTAAAATATCCAATCTTCAATATTTAATATACTTTCACTCCGTGTGAGGTAGCCGTGGGGCGATCTGTATATAACCTTCCACGTTCGAATGTAGTTCAAGTCACCTGTTGTCTCGTTTTATTGTATAGCAAAGAAAGTGACAGCATTAGCTTTAATCAAATTTTACCAACAATCTTAAGTGTCAACTCTGGCTACGTCCGTGGCCATGAGTATAAAAGTGAATCACAAACACCGGGGATTTCAGGTGTAGACATTGAAAGCGCGATAGTTGGTGAGATAGTCCGCCTGCACGCGCACCACGCAGACGCCGCGCCTGCGCCCGCGCCGCGCTGACGACCGCGCGCGCGCCGCCGTCTGTACCTCACGCCGCACTAGCTGACGCACAACGTATCGTACCATACCCGCGCCACTATACCTATAGTTTACGCAATATAATACAGGCACACTGTACACGCCACTCGCTATTCGCCACAATACCTATAGATACTAACCTACCTCTACTACACACGATAGCTACGCCACTTTGAACTCTGATTGTGCAGTGTAATACACTAGTTACTCCACATAATACACCATCCGCGCCAGCGACGTGCTGACAACTACGCGCGCACCGCCGTCTATACCTCACGCCCCACTAGCCGACGCACGCTGTATCGTACCATACCCGCGCCACTATACCTATAGTTTACACAATATAATACAGGCACACTGTACACGCCACTCGCTATTCGCCACAATACCTATAGATACTAACCTACCTCTACTACACACGATAGCTACGCCACTTTAAACTCTGATTGCGCAGTGTAATACACTAGTTACTCCACATAATACACCATCCGCGCCAGCGACGTGCTGACAACTACGCGCGCGCCGCCGTCTATACCTCACGCCGCACTAGCCGACGCACGCTGTATCGTACCATACCCGCGACACTATACCTATAGTTTACGCAATTTAATACAGGCACACTGTACACGCTACTCGCCACAACCACATTAGCTATAAAATATAGGTCTACCTCTACTATACACGGTAATTACGCCACTTAAACACTTAATACAGTTACTTCTCATAATTTGCGCGCACGCAGCCGCCTCTACCGTCGCACGCTGTCTTACAAGCTCATTGTATACTCTCCCCGCCACAATACCTATAAAACATAGCCTATATGTAGTATACATGAAACCTTTACCACTTTAAGCACTGCTTACTCAACATAATACACTAATTACTCCACATAATATATTATTTACGCGCGCCCTGACGCCTCTACCTCACACCGCACTAGCAGTCACAATACACAATGTTTACGACACACAATAATTAGGCCATTATACTATTATACTTTGATTATGCCTACGCCTAGATAGAGCAATCAAAATAAATCCCACAAAAGAAACGGCTCATGTTACGCGCAATGCGTGCATGACTCTAATACCAGGTTATTTGAAAGCAGTTAATGTGTGCGCGTGTAGGGACGAGCGTATCTACCATATGTAGTAAATATTTTTGGGCCGCTTCCGTGCAGTTAATACTGTATCTAGGCGTGTATTTTAATCAAAGGCCACATAATACACTCCAGTTACGGCACAAGGTGCACTGGTCATGGCCATACAGTACACAATGGTCACGACAAACAAGTCACGCTACAGTATATACTGGTTACGCCACACTAGCAACGTCAAACAATATACTAAGTTACGCCACAATACACTTTGGTTACGCCATACTAATAAACTTTTTGGGTGACATACCTGTGAATGGAATTAACATTCAACTTCTTTATTTCACTTTACATAATGAACCACCGAATATTTTCGTATTGTTAAATCACTCGGCGATGCTAAAAACATCTTAATATGTGCTAAGCTAAGACACTATTTTGGATATATTTAGAAAGCGGATATAGTATAGAAACAATCATAAATTCAGATTTGGGTACTGTGCAACAAATTAACAGATTTACGTGCGACAAGACAAAATGTGCGTGTTTTGATGTGTGAGACTTAAAAATCTTCATTCGGTGGTAAAAACTAAAAACTTTCATATATTAGTGTTAACTTTATGGTGAACAAAAAACATGTTTGTCTAAGACTAAGACTAGCAAAGAATAAATCTTACTTATACACGGTACTTTTAAGGCATATTTTTAGATGTAAGTAACTGGTTAGATGTAGAGTTTTATAAATCTCCATGTGCCCCAATGAAGTATCTTTGTGTACGTAGATTTTTTATGTCTATTTAATGGGTAATGCTGTACGTTATAAGGTTACTATCGCAGAGTTTATTATGTGATGTTTTAGACTGTATGTAAAGGTGATAAAGTTCATTTTTACTGATATCGTTATATAACTGAGGCCCAAACACGAAATTTTGACAGCTTCAGCCTATGAAAATTAAGCAGCCAGCGCCTCTACCGGACGTCAGAACAAACTGGCTCCATCCATACAAAATTTGACGACGACGATAAGATTACGGATTGTCAAAGTTCGTGCTTGAGCCTCCGGTCTCTGTCTTAAAACATCTTCTAATATCATTTAAATACTTACTGTTGTGTATCAAAACAGATAAACAGAAAAACGCGTGTGCTTATGACCACACGACTGAAGTAAAACTTTAGCTCCATCTGTATGTGTGTGTGTTTGTGTGTGTATAATATATACAAGTATGTACATATACATATTTCATTTACTAGCTATAAGAGAGAAAGAAAATGTGCGCGCGCGCACTGCTTTCTCTTGCTTATATCCCCCACCAACTCCCGTTCACCTCACCCGAACACACTTTTCGTAACGCGTAATGCATTCGCCAGCTTACCCCTCAAGTCAAGCGTGCGTAAAGAAGTTTCACTTCAGAAAAATTTGCTGACAGAAATGAATGCCATCTACATATTATTAAATATGCCGCCTGAGACCTTGTTATTACATTTTAACCTGTCAAGTATTGTGTACCACGTTACCATTACCCCATCTGGTAACCCTAGAGGTGCTAACGAGGTACTTTATAACCTCAGTGTATGTGGAAAACGTTAAAAATTATATTGTAATTTTGCGAAGTCTCATCGCCTAATTACTTACGAGCATAATAGGCATATTCATATTAACTTAATTATGTTTACGTTAACCAATCAGACATTGATAAAAAATTAGTTACAGAGCCTGTGTATTAGTTTAACTAAGACAAGACTTTACCAATCGGTCATTTATCAATCCTCCATCTTAGAGTGGATTTAGACAAAATGGCAGCTGACCGAAATCAATAGCGATGTAAACTCAACCTTATTTGAATTTGCAAAGGGCTCCAACTCACACTCATCAACTGCGCCACGTTTCGATACGAGTCTTCAATAGTTAAAAATTGTATTTTCAAATTTATTCAGAAACAGATAAGGTCGATTTTACACTGTTGAAGTTTCACTTTCGTTGATTGCGAGGGGTTATTTTCACTTGCATCTGTGTTTCTCTATCTATTAGAGTATTTTTGTCAGATAATTTATAGGATTGTCAGTATTAGGTGATTAGATATGTTGGGTGAGTGTAAAGCGCCCTTATTGAGTGTTATATGTTTTTAAATGTTTGTAATAATGAGATGTGTATTACTTTAGGTATGAGATGAGCCTTGTGTACATATTAATATAAACTGTATTGTGAATAGACATGTTCAAAAGTTCACATTTTAAACTTCCAAAATAACTGTTGTCATTTTTAAAATTGTAATTGTTCGTAACTTAAGAAAGACTTAAGTAATCTATCGAATCAGGAACAGTTGACTTATTTAAAAAGTGAAAAAAGTGTATACGCGATTTTCAACCTTATTGAATGCGAGATTATTAATGCATCTGAGTTTTAATTTTATTGGTTACGAGTGTAGTGAAAAAAAATATAAAAGTTATATAGATTGAAATATTTTCTAATGCCCGTTGTGGTCTGATCGTGAAAAAAATATGTAGATACTTTTTTATTAGTATTTTTGACGAATGTTTGTACTATAATCTGTTTTGTTTGTTTATTCGATCGATTTAGTAAACAGTCTTGTGTTTAAGAACATGTATATATTTTCATCAAATAATGTTACTTAAGTCATTAAGGCTACAACCTCTTATTAATAAACGAAGTATAGTAGTGTTTTGTCTTTGTCATCGTATTAGGGTTAGTTCACACAGAGACGCGACGTGGCGAAATCTTCAAAATTTGTATCTGTTTGTGTGTGTAGATAAAGTTTTATTTTGTGTGAACTGACAATTACTAATTTCATTTATTAATGAGGGAATTAATGGAAGCGTCCCTTCGTGACGCTATCCATAGAGCGGAGCCTAATGTTGCTGTAATATTGAATTTACTTTTATGAGGTGTCTTAACTTTCTCGAATTATATTCTTTAGGACCGGGAGCTAGAAGCTTTGAACGATTTGAAAATGGGCGATATGATAAATATAGGAACTACTTAATAACCTGTTCATTCGATACAGATGCCTACTATATGCTGATATAAATGCTTTTATATGGTAATGTAGTAATATAGTAGGCGTGTGTATTAATATTCTTATAAAGGTAAAGGTTATGCCGTTACAAAACTGTTATAGAAAAATTTTATTATTTCATTTTGCTGCGCCTTTTACTCGTATTTTTACTTTAAGTAAAAATTAATTATTTTTATTAATTATATTAAAAAAAACTTTCTATATCCAACTTACATTCCTTCTTATCGTATCACCCGTAAAAATGCTAGAAAACATATTCTATTGGACTTGAAAGTAGTATATAATAAAATGTAATGTAGTTGGATCTAGTGTAGCTTTATCGATAAGTTTAAAGATGTGTTCTATATATTGGAAATGTTTATTGTTTTATAGAAAAATAATATGTACTTATTGTAAACTTATGTTTGTTAAGTAATAATAAAAAGATCTTTTTTAATCGTGACCCTTTGATTCTGTGATTGTTGCCAGGGACTAGAACAATAACACTCTTAATAGATCCTATCCAACATTCCTTTAACGGGTTTTATTTTCGTCTTTAAAGATGCCATGATGATGACTCAATTTTGATTTGATCAAATCTTGATCCGTAAAGTATGTTAAAGTACAGTCACCAATTAATCATGTTGTATAAAACTGAAAATGTTCTCCAACTGAATTTGAGCTTTATCTTGCTGGATATAGGATTCAAAATTGATTGAGAAAATTTTTGTCTTATGAAACTTGGTGCCTTGCCTTCTTTTTGCCTGCCTTGGTTACGACAATATTTAATCATAATTATAATGAAAAGATATTCAATCACATCAAAAGGGTTGCGATGAAACAGGAGCTTATATTATATAAAAAAACGAGCTTTACATATCATGGAGGTATATGTGGCTAAACAACTCATCAATTTGTGCATTTCATTAATTGATTGAAAAAAAAAGATGTTAAACCAACTACCTAGTAGTTAAGGATTCTTAAAGTTTATTGT